TTAACATCATCGGTATTAGCCTTCTTCATGTTGGTTAAGAAAGTTATTAAATGTTCGCCACAAAGGAACACATAGTGGAACCACTACGTTACGAGCCGATGGAAAGACTCGCCTTATTTGATACAAGTAATAATATGACAAAAGTCTAACGATGTTTCGTTTTGCATTAAATCCATATATCGATGTCGATCGTTGATTTTCAGGGACGTTATGCAGGGTAAATCATGTTTATTTACAATTAGGACTTAATGGTCAGCGGGAGGTTGAGGTAGAATTAAATTCTACGGTAAGTGGAGCGTGATTGTTACTGAATTAAAAAATATTCTTTCTAAGAAGTAACGTGGTAAGTGGTGGAGGATTATTATTGTTGTAAATGATAATCTATTAATATTAATTGTTCTTATCATTAATTGTCCTACCAGCCCGGTACGTGACACAGTGTAACACAGGAATAGCCAATAAGTTGGCAAATATATTTCCTCCTTTCTTATAAATCCATTACTTCTTCCCTTCCTTGGCCCTCTATATCTGAAATCTATAGATTCTCCTCTACCTTGTCTTCTCCATAATAATTACAATTCATTTTTTTTCCATATTAATATACTGTCATAATTAACAATAACAATTTCTTTATTATTATCTTAAACATTAACTTTGTAACTATTGCTATTCAATATTATTTCATCTGCACATATTCTCTAGGCTTCTTAGCCAAGCTCTTTATTGTACCTATGTATGCCTAGCATATATGTTAAAACTAGCTCTAGCGGGTAACCGTAGTTAGACAATAAAGTTCTATATTATAAGTTGGCGAATATAGGATGGGAATACGTACGTAATTAATTAACGCTTCGTATTAGTATAAATAATTTGCCCAACATTAAATTATTATAAGTAAGCTAAAGCATTTTAATATCTAATTTCTTTAATGTCCTCAGTGGTTTAATGCTTGGAATGAAGTCTCGATAAATGAAATATTTACAATTTATCGATTGGGGCTTCATATTTTTTTCTCTCGTATAGAAGAACAGCGAAGATAATACAACAACAGTGGCGATACTTGTCATTCAATGCCCAACGATAATTATTGTGGCGGTTGAATAAACTGGACTATGGTTGTAATACAGCAGAGTGACGACTATTAATAAGAGGAGCATAATAAACAATAGGACATCTAAAACTTCGCGACGATGCTTTATGTTCTCATGGTCACATATTCTCAAGCGCTAACCATATAATGTACATGGTGTTAATAATCCCAAATTTATTCAGCCCTCTTCACTGAGTCATATAGTCAGCCCTGCCGTAATTTTACTTTAATCAACGTTAATGATGTTTAATCAACGTTAATGATGTTTAATTTATTGGTAGATTACCTGAACGAAAAACTTGTCAAAGTCGGCAAAATTCAGGTCTTTAAGTAATGAATTACTTAAAAAAGAATTGGAGTTGGTGAAATTATTTTATCCACTACTACGGCAATTAATTGACTTAAAGATAAGACTGAAATCTTTCTGTGGCGCTGTTCACTTTGTCTGGTTTTGCAGTTTGTTTGGGAAATCAATCTTGCAGAATTTATTCGTGACATCAGCAGATTACCATAGTCTTACTAAAGCCCCCACGCTACCCCCCACGCTACCTCCAAGTTTGGATTCGAAGCGTGCACTGTTGCGAAGGTTTGAGTAAAAGGCGATAATAAATCGTTGACAAGCTATTGGAAAATAATAATAAGGACGAAAGGGAAATATATTATATAGTATGTATTCTAATACAATTAAACAAAAAATATATATATTATCCACCAACCATCTAATCAAAATCACCGTTATATATATATATATCCAAATTCACTGCGTATTAGTACTCTCATTATCATCACCAGTTTCAACTCCCCAACCGTCGTCGACTAATCCACCCAATTTCAAACCTCGGACTCTCAAATCTTCTCCATTATTCTCTTCCAAGGCACTCTCAAACACATTTTGTAATTCATCCTCGTCGCTTTCTTTCTCCAATTCTTTCGCATCATCGGGTCGACCATTACCATCATCAGGTGTGACTGGAGGTGTGGTTTGTACGCCTGTTGTGCTCGAAACTATCTCCAACGATGAAGGCGAACTACGGACGGTGGGGTAGGGTTTGCTGACAGATGTTAATGCTTCATCAACACCAAAAGAAGAGAATTCAGATCTGGTCAATTGCGATTCGAATTGGTAAAGTCGTAGTGCTGTTACTGCTTGTACATGTTGAAGTTCTACTGCTATGTCCAAAGGAATCTAAGGATAAAAAAGATTGATTCGGTATAATGCAATAATGCTCGAAATGTTACATCTTTTCTCTTTGCGCCCGGATAATTCATTACCTTCCCGTTCTTGTCCTTCAAGCCTACATTAGCATGTCTCTTCATCAATGTTAATAACAATCGCGCATTATTCGTCGCTGCGGCGTGATGCAAACCACTCCATCCATCATAGTCGATTGCGTCAATATCACAAAACCACTGTAGTAAGAATTCTACTACCACATCATCGTTGCAAAGTATAGCTTGATGTAGGGCAGTGGTGGAGTTGCGCTCGTGGTTTTTCCAATCGACATTTGCACCAAGGGCAAGGTAACGGAGGGCAGAGTAGAGATCAGAGTTGGACATCGATTTCCAGAAGGCCTTTTGGAGCATGATTAAGCAATAGTTTTTATCATAAATATAAACGCAGCTATGAGTGAATAAAAAGAGCTTCAAGAACAATAAGACTCAAACTACTGCTTATAGATGATAACTTACCAAATCAATAGACTCTGTTTGATTATCATCCTTGGGCGCCAAGAATTCTTTTTTTACATACTTTGCAATAATAAACTTCTCCTTCTCTGACCTATTATAACACATTCTCTATATCATTTCCTTTGTTATCAATGCCATTATACATATTTATTTCTCTTCTTCTTTCATACCTGTCTGAAGCAGGATTAGCTATAGGCACTCCACTGGCACTAGTGATATTGGCCTCGAATATCTTATTTGTCATCGTGTTGCCGAGTCTTAACATTACTTCAATTGCTTCCGGTTCCCATTTGTCAAGGGACAGGGAACGCACTTTGCTCACGTGTACACCGAGACTACGGTGTATACCTGAGCACTCGATGCAGAGTAGCGTGCCGAAATTTGCACAGGCCCATTGAGGGTCTAGTTGAGTATACGAATTGAAGTAACGGGTTGAGACGAGAGGGAATATGGGATAAGCACGAGAACGTGTACGATAAGTCAAAGATATTAGAGGATTTAACTTTACCTGAGGCTTTACAATCAACACACAAGTCATTCCCACGCAATTCTTTAATTCTTTGAATCGATCTCCGATTACTCGAATATCCATTGCCGTTAGTGTCATTTCCGCTGGCAGATGTTGACCCGTTGACGGAGCCTCCCTAAACGGGAATACTTACGTATTCACTAATATTGAACATGGAATGAAGTAATCAATATATTTACCCACCTTCAACCGATCAGCATCACTTTCCACCGGAGACGGCAGCTGACCGGAAAAGGCTTCTTGGGCAGCTGTCTTTAGGCACCTTATCCAGTCGTCCATTTCTTCCTCATTTTCTGCTTGGAGAAGATATGTCCTATATAATGGCATTTTGCATCAAATAGTCTTTGTATGTGAAATCACTGATTGTTAATAGTCAAACGACTTACTTTCTAGGGGACATAATTTCGAAACAAAATCTTCTCTCGGAGTTATTGACGGGTTTAATATGACAAATCCTTAGATAAACGGAAACTGTTTCTTCGTCATCTTTGGAACCCTTGTACCAGACAACGGATTATTGGTATATGTTCATTTTCACTATATCAGATTCTTTTACGCGTGAAGATGAGAGGGATATGACTATACAAAGACTCGCCTCTTCATACACGAAATGAAGAGGGAGACAAAGCAGGTAAAAGAGAGAATGCGAAGAGGATAACAGAGATGGCAATATCTGACTATAGAACTTGGGTATATCTATTAAAATCTCTATTTATATTGCTGTAATGTAATGCTACACTTAATTATAAACCACTGGTGACATTATTATTTCGCTCTTGACAACATACCTTCCCACTACCTCGACCAACAAAAGTAAGCGTCTCTCCATCAACGGTTGTGTATACACGAACCCATGATGCCATGACTCTCTGGGATCCTTTCTTGAACAGATATCCTGACTTCGTTACTGACGTTGAATTTTCCTTAAATGTTGGAGATGACATTTCTTTAGCAGGACGCATTGGATTATAGGTTTCGTGAGCCGTCTGGATAGATGGTTGATTTAGGGCCGGAATGTTTGAGCGATTAGATAAAAAATTTATTAAAATGATTCGAAATGAATACCTCAATAAGACTCTTTTTGAGTTCTTGCGACAGTTGTACGTCTATGTCGTATTGTATTCGCGCCTATTGATGAAGCATGTTATAGAGCATAGCGACTATGATGAATCGATAACCATTGAATACCTCGTGAAGCGTCTCTATTACCGACGTATAATTGACATAGTTAGTGTATGTTGACTAATAAAATAAACCATTAAAAAAAAGTTACTTACTCGTTACGTCTCTCATATGTGGTTCTATATCTTTCATAGTCTCGTAATTTTGATGATAAAATGCTGATTCGGTGAACATTAATGCCAGTATCTGGTAAGAACAGCACATCCGTATTACTCATTCAAATTGATCTATTCAAATGACCAATACACCACACTATCATGAACAACAGAACTATTTCTCACATATTCCATGAACTCAAACTTCTTCTTCTGTTCCAGTTGATTGATCTTCATGACGTATTCAAGGTATCGACGATGAAATTCACGTCTAGTGTCAGTGACTTCCGTTGATGCCTACATAAATGTATAATATTAGTAATTAAATAAATTAATATAATGCGTATATATTATACATATATATATGTATGTACCATATAATGGCTCATTACAATCTCTCGCCTATAAATAACCAACCTCCGCAATTTGTTGATCTTTGGCTTTCTTACTCATATATCTCGCAAGTGCACCGTCGGCCTCATGGCTTGACTTCTCAAAGTTCTTCCTAACTTCCTAGGGTGCAGAACAATTCAGTAAATACCAATAGGTATAAGCAAGAACTATTATAATAAACATATCAGCTGTACACAGTGTGCAACAAAGATAATTAAATTAATTCAATACCTTGAGAGGTTGGATCTCATTTTTGACAAACGACTCGAGTGGACTAATAAACATGTCACTCATATGTGAATGCTAATAAACAGAAAATAGATTGTAGTCACTTCCTATCGGTATGTTAGGTCCACTATTGAATAAATATCCAAATAATAATACGTCAATCGTAACCAAATACTTACAAGAATCTTTCGACTCCTTTCAACTTCTTGAAGTGATTGGGAATATTTAATCAGCACTGATTCTTGAGAAGTAAAAGTCGAAAACATTAGGCATTAGATAAATAGTCAAAAGTTTTTTGATGCAGAATAGCCTTATAATCTCACTTAATGAAGAATCTGGTTGTTGTTTAGCAAAATTCCTGAATTCGTCAGCAAATTGCAACTGTTTACTTGTATATTCTACGATAAGTACCAACAATTTCATTAGCTTGTTTAACTCATATGTCAGATAACAAAAGCTCAAGCTGTACAAACCCGTAGCAAGCTCCACACTAGCTTTAGCCAATCTCACCAGGTTCCTAATCGTACTTTCAAGACCGAATATAGACTCCTCGCACGCAGCTAGTTCTTTACGAAAGTACGGTGGGTCCTCTTGACACAGACGAAGGTCCAATGGGGTTGTCATTTAGATAGATAGAAGGGAATAAAATGGGCAATGGATGTACAGAGAAAGAGTAAAACAGTAGGGATATTGGGAAAAGTAACAAACGATGAAGTATACAAAGAGTAAAAGTATAGATAGTGTTTGGTAATATACAATCAATCGTGTCTTTTGTCCTCCAACTCTAAATTAAAATTTTAAATCCAATCTCTAGCCGAATATCCTGTTAAATACTAATGATAAGAAATCTGTTAATAATCCGATTTTCATCTAATGCCGCACTTCTCATCGCTCTCCACAATTCACATCAAACTTCGCTATTCCTCAGATTCGCCTTTATCTCGTCTTACAAGGATAAATGCATGCTCCCGCTTATACCTTACTCTCTACACTATCCTAACAATAAATTTTAAGTTCCACTACAGCAGATATATCACATGTCTGTCCTCTGCTTCCCACATTATGCCTCAAATAATAAGAAAGCAGAGAGCTTTTGGATGTGGAGAAAGGAAAGAAGGCTAAAGCTCGGATTGGTGTTAACATTTTCCCATACAGCTCCTCAGGAATTTAGAGAAACTGCTGCTTCCGGTTACCAAAGATGTCCTCATAGGAAAGCAAAAGCATGTGAATTGTAGTGGTTTGGTCTAGTAAAATAACCTTCTGCTGAACCCCAAATTTGCAAGTCTACTCATTTATTACAGCGCTCTCTACATAGATAATCCAACACTGACCTTATCTACTGGGTCTGTTCAAAAGCAGAAACTTATGAACAATGATTATTATACGATCGCATTCGTTAAATTTCAGAACGCGCGATTTCTTTTCACCCTTGACGTTAGTTACAGCCAATGAAGTGTAAATGTGGTTACACGGTCCAAACTTTAATATACTAATACTAATATTGTATACAAGAGCAATTATTGTATTTATAAAAAGAATACACTTCGACACATTCGTTGAACACTCTTTTTGGTAGAATTTACGAATTTGCTTAACAAGTGGTTCTGGTCCTTTTACTAAATAGTATAAATACTATTAAATGGCAAGTAGTCTTTAAACTGACATAGAATTACAGTAATATTAGAAAAAGATTATCGCCATCCGTTTTTAAATCTGATACAAAGCTCTACTAAATTACTAGATAAAGAAAAATTGCTTGCGAGCAGGCTAATCAAGAGAAGAATCATCAGTTGTCCTTGAGAGTCTCAAATATATCCCGACCAAAGAGCAAATATGGTTATAAAGACGTTCAAGACCCGCGGCGATATAAGTAATGAATCTTTAAAATCCAGATAGCAGCTTCACTATGCTACTGAAAGCCTTATCCACATTCAATCCAGCAACGCTAGATCTTTTATGACATTTACTATCACAACATGGTGTAAACGACATTAATAATTCTCGTCAACAAGGTAGTCATGGTAAGGTACTTCATTTTGCAGTGCAACAGTTTTTGTATTGTAGAATAGAATAAAGCCCTCGTTCAAAGCTATTTTAATTATTTATGGACATTACTATTACGTGTGTTACCTCTTAATATTAACACTAGCGCGCAAACTCAACTTATTACTTATGGAGAATTTCTCGTAATTACCAAGCTTGGCACCCAAAATGAACTGTGAAATGCGTGGGACAATTCCCGCAAATAAAAAAACCTTTACCTATGCTATATTTACTATTACGTGTCTGTACACGTGACCAAACCATCCGTTCCCAACATTATTAGTGATGGACTTGATAGTAAATAAAGAGAATCGATAATCCTTTCGCCGATTCATAGACAACTTGCCTACGATTGTGAATACCTTAACTAAGAATTGTGGTAGAATGACGAAACGCTAGCGTAATTGAAAGCGGTTTATTACTAATTTACCTTGCTATTACTTAAGAATCCCGAGTTATAGCGGTATCTTGGTTAATAACATATTCAACATGTATAGGCGTGGTAGTCTTAAGATAATCTTCAAATAAGAAGTAGACTATTATTGAGCTGAATCACATTACGTTAACAGTATACTTACTGATGGCCTGACCTATCTATCATATGTAGATGAATATGTTCTAACACGCATCTCGGAAAAGGGGCCGAACTTTGAACCCTCTCCGGCTAATTTATGCGGATAGATATCATGGGATGTTAGGGTTAGGGTTAGGGTTAGGGTTTTCAATGATTCATATGTTATATTATATAGCCTCTTCCTCTGCCGATTCATCTATGAAGAAGTATATATGTATCTAACTTAATTTTGCCTGTTCTTTGAATATTTCGAAAAATCTCATTTATTGTATCCATCGTTGTCAAACTTCTTACTTAAAGCACAGGCTAGTCCCTAAGCTCTTTCCAATATTTTCTGATTGGAATTTTTTGACGAGTCAGAAGTTCGATAATTATATAAATAACCAATGTGTAGGGATATATTAATATGAGTATATGTCTCGGCAATCCCAAAAATAACCACCCTTTGTAGGTCCATATCATAGAAACCAACAATCATACCATATACATAGTCGTAATCCCCATCAAGGAGCGATAACGGAAACGGAGGGTTATTCAGCTGATTTCTGTCAGCTTCCGTGATAACCTTATTCATTTATCCTTTAGCATTCTTTTTATAAGAACTATGTAACTGTAAAACACAACATTGAAAAGCAACACAGTGACACTGTTATTTTACATTCTGCTATGAGTTTGCTGATACGTACAAGTTGGAAAAACTATGGCGAAAAATATCTTTATTAAAAAAGTATTGATTTTACAAGAAGCACCGACAACGTCGCAAAGAGTCGGTTACGACGGTTTGAGTCGACTTTGAAGTGTTTGACGAGGAAAGTGAGGAGCGCTATAATTTGCGGCCTTGATAATGATGTATGCTGGGGAAAGGAATTCCAAGAAGATTTAAAAAAAAAAAAATAAACAAGCAAGCTGTGTTACGTATATGTTTTGATATCACCCAATCCACGTGAAAAAAAGCAAAAAAAAATTTTTTTCCTCAGCCCACATTACATTTCTTACTGGCAATATTTTCAATATTTTCGATAGAACGGTTACCTGTAAAGTATCATCACCGCAAACACATGATTTATCTGCACAATTCATCAGCTATCAGTACAGAGGAGGCTCGGTATTTTTACATGTGTTTCTTGCATGCGATGGAGTTTATCTGAATGTTATAAATGCAATATTGTATGTAATGTTGTAAGTAATATGCAGTGTAAGCATGTAAGCGTAGGAGTTGACTAAACAAAATGTCTTCCGGGGTTTGCTGCGGGGAAGATTATAATAACACTGACACAACAATAGCAACGTATCAATGAGTTTGTGACAATTACTATTATCAGTTATTATCATTTCATTGTTTGTTTATTGTTGTCTTTTTTACAATTGTTAACGGATGCTTGCATCCTCGCTTTTCCTTTTGCGTGCATACGTTAGCCTCTGCTATTTCAATCGCAGATGCATACTTAAAACTTAGATAATCATCTATTCGGTTGGGTACTCGCACCAAGGCTCATTCTATTGTTCATTTGATACTTCCAATGACATTTCACTCGATTGTTGTCTTCTGCAGCAGGGTAAACATTAACCGCCACCTCCACCCATGTCCACATATCTCATGGTTTTGAATACTCATTTGTATGCGATTGTGCGTCTGTTTATCGAAATTCTATCCATTCGCACAATGAAAGAAATTTTTTTTTTCTTTTGTTACAAATGTTGAAAACAGAGAAACAAGTGTCGGTATTGTAATGGTAGGGATATGTTATTTCTCAGCCTGGTACCGTTAATGATTGGGCGAATTGAGTTGTACACATCGTCTGTCGTTTTTGACATTTCTTTTGACTTTCACACATGGTTGACGATGCGAAGAACTTACCGACGTATTGAGAATGAGCAATGGGTGAATAGGTAATTATGTTATTTACACCTGGAGATGGATAAGATATTTCCTTGTTATATGTAGTACATGAAACAGACACTTTATTATATTGATTATCACTGTTTGTTTGCTTTGCTCGTTAGTCCGCAGTCGCATTTTTATTGAGTGTGAGAGCTTGCCTGCTATCTCATACAGAATCTCCGTTCTCGTCTCTCGAGTGTTGCGGATTATGTGCTAGTCCGTTATAGTATATGTATGGATACCGCCATAATGCTTTCTATTGTCCTTCAAACGATAATTTCTATGACGTCATCTGTACTGCCTTTTTAACTTTGACGCAGGGATCTCCACACCGACACCACCATTATGCACTTCGACAGGAATGTAACACCGATCAATAGAATATTTGATTAGATAATTAGATGACAATGAAAGAGACAATTAAACCGGCAATATTTCGATAGTGGCTTTCTTGCTTTTATGCTTCTGTGATGGATGCAACATAAGGTCAAATTGTCAACAATCTGTCATTAGAGAATACTAGATGTTTAAAGTTTACATTCGTCGTACCCAGTGCTCTTGAATATTTCCACAAGTATCAATTCAGCAATACAACAACTCCTTTGCTTGCAAGGAAGGCAAGGCAATCTCAACACTTTATCTAATTCTGCACAATATATTTATTTGCTTGTTGTATGCTCAAACATGATATCATTTTGCAAGTCTTTAGATCTTCGCATACATCTACAAAGTATAGCACACGTATAATGCTCACTATATCCCCACATATATACCCCACACATACATATACAAACCCACACATATATACACGTATATCGTATGTGACTATTTTCTATACCTTTTATTCTCAAAAGCCATCCACCTCTTATTCTCATGCTCTCAGCTGACGACCTGCCATTCTTTTGTCTCTCGCGTAATGCTTATCCATCTTCTGGGTCCAGCCAACTTGCCGGATCCACGGTTCACAAACCCACGTGCCTCAAAACAATTACTATATTAGTCTAATTGCGCTGCGGGGTACAGATTCGGTAGCAAACCATATCAACATCAACCCTCCCCAAACGGTCCAACACTTCATTTCCCATTTACACCGCTAACGATATAACATCCGGCTTCTAATTATCTCCATTCCCATAACTTATCTCCTTCTGTCCACAATCTCAAAATTTTTCATTCTCAACCTTAAAAATTGCAGCCGACGCAGGAGTCTTTGTTATTGTAATACAGCTCAGCCATGTCGTCTTCCTTTGTGAATATGCTGCTGGTAATGTCGCTACGAGACAAATCATCGTCGTCTATTATATTAAGAATAAAGGCATGCACACAACTATATAAACGCCTGGCCGTCCTTTCTCATGTTTCCTCGAAGCCCGTCAACCGTAGTTGAAGCTTTCGTACGCTTGTTCGAACTATTCTCTATCTTCATATAATGACCCATTGACGCAACGTTCTTCCCTGCCATTATCCCCATTATACATTAAAATTTCAAGAATCACCATATTGAATACAAGTAAAAAGATCTCAAGAATATAAAGCATTAATTCTATATAATATAACAATACATCTGTACATCATTTTGATCACGACAAATTAAGAAAATACATCAATTTATACAATCATGAGTCCATCTGCAGTTAGCACACAATCGGAAACCCAGTACAATTTGGACAACGGCAAAACGCCAGCCTACAGTGATTACAAACAATACATTGAAGTCGACTTTGAATCGGAAGACGAAGGGGTAAGTTAAAACGAATGATTCGTAAATTTTGTTAGACTTCTATCGCATTTCTTACTGAAACGAAAACCAAACCACTATATCAGTCCTACAAAGATAGTGCGATCACAACTGATTACTCCTCAGACGACGAAGACTATTCCGATAGAGACTACGAGAGTGATAACATTGGGTAAATGACAAAGCAGAAACCTGATTAGTTACCTGTCTTTTCTTCCAGAAACCACCATATTCATAACACAAGCGATATCATGATTATAGTTCGAGTTCTAGATCATATCAAATGGATATGCAAGAGTATTCAAGCGAAGATGAAATTATCTATGATGATTATGAAGAAGAGATGCAAGACGAAGAATTGGCCGATATCATCGAAAAGGTAAAAAAAAAAGAGAAAAGCTTACTAAAATGACTTGAGAAACGCGAGTTCTCATAGAATGTTCAATTTAAATTGCAGAAGGAACTCCTTCAATCTATGATCGAAAAAGTCCAACTGGCAACAGAAGAACAAGAGCTTGAAATACGAGAGAGAAAAGAAGAGCTTGAAGAGTTATACGAGACTTACTACAAATTAGAACAAGAATTAGAGGTGATAAACAAGTGAATAACAGGGACACGGTTTATTATCAATGGCCGGTTAGATCTCATCTCTTTGTTAACATAACAACCCACTTGTCTCTGGCGTTAATTATTAGGTTCCAAGGAGTCGTTCCATATGGTTCGGATGTCTCGTCCTGAATCTTCTTCTTCCATTTCTAATCGTCGTTTTCCTGACCACTTACTCACAAAACGCTGAAGATACTGCGATCCACTGAATAGTATCGCGAACTGACATTCCCAATTTTCTTCTTTAATGGAAGGTTCTTGTTCACAGCTTTTTATTTTCTTACTTTTTTCAATTTTTTTTCTTTTTTTCCTGTTTTTCTGTTATTCTTATCTGTCCATCCAGGCATTTCTTTTCTTTACTCTCTCTTCTCTCTTCTCTTTCCCATTCTTCATATCTTAACGTTCCAATGTCATTTAACGGATCGTCCACTCTCTTTTCTCTGTAATTATTTTCGTTACGCAGAGATTTTCGACTTTTTCTTGACCCGAACAATTTCTCTTAACTTACTGTTTGGATAATAAGTCTTTTATGCTATATTTACATCTAACCCAACGAACTATTATGCACACGTTTCTTGACAAGATCACACTTTACGACTTACCTCCCGACGGGACTTTGTAACAATTTAAGCTTTATTATGTTTTCTCCTTATTCGCTGGACCTCTCATCGTTTCCTAAGAACTCGTTTTTATGACTTTGATTCGAATGCCTAGTTCTTATTAAGAGTATGTTGCACTATATGCGTTTTTCCGGAAATTTTATATGTTAATACACCTTGCCTAAGCAGGTGTAGTATATGAATATATGAATACGTTTTTTCTTTTAAAGCCAAACAGATTACTACGCGTAGAAATTTATTTTCGTATTACTCACTTTCATTACGGAACCCTTCTGATTATCACAGCGTTTTTATGTTCGCATTCTTTTTCACGTTTGATCCTGTTGAATTCGTTTCTTTCCCCCCAATTCTTTTAACTTGCGAGAAAATAAGTCCTGGTCGACTCATTATCGCGCGCTTCTTCAAGCAATTCTTTGTTCTATCATTTCTTTTTTTTTTTTTTTTTTTACACAAAAAGCCAGAGTATTTTAATTAAATAAATATAAAAAACCTACCTATCCCAAGCTTCAAATCTCTGCTGCAACATCATAGATAATAAAATTTCAGCCATTATTGATTAATCTCAAAAAAACATGAAACCATATCAATTGCATAAAATAGACATTTCTTCAATAGAGCATAATTTATTGCCTTATTTTCTCAATCGCACGCAAGACAAATGCTTCGCTAAGAAGAATGTGCATCATCTTGTCCGCATATTTACATCCATCACACATTACCAGGAATCTTTCTGGTACTCATCTTAATGCTCATGTTTAGATGCTTTTCAGGCAGACTCCTTAATTAGCTTCAGTAAAAGCTATCCACCGACACTTTTGATTAGCTTTGCTAAATTGAGATCAAATAACTCGCTACGAATGGGCATCTCTGGTGCATAGAAAGGATTCTTCATTACATAATCACTGTAAATGTCATATGCTCTGTGTAATACATTATCGATATTAGGATGGTTTGGGTCGGCAATAATTAAGAACTTGGTACCTAAACCAATGGTATCATAGAAAGAAGAAAGGTACATTAAAGAAACTGAGGAAGTTGTAACGCTGTTGGATACAATATGTCATGAAAAGTGAAGTCAGCATGCGAACCTGTTAGTGTTTGGTAACAGCAGAGTTTGAATGTGTCTGCTTCGAGTACCTCGAGGCCTGTTGACGTAACATTGCGAACGGGCGATATCTTAGACGTTATTGCATGTACACTAGAAAAAGAAGAGAAATATGGGTACTTTTGGTCTATGTCTGACTTTCATTCACTAGGACATTGAGTGATGAAGAAACTATCACCTGTGGAAAGTTCCCGCTAGCACAAGATATTCATTGGAAGTAAGCTTGGCCAGTCCCTCATTGAAATCCTTTTGATATATTAATCCGCCAGCTTTATTTATTATGTATACCGAGAATATCATAGTTTATCTCTTTCTAAGTCTATGGTTTTGGTGTCGACTTCTCGGTGGCTTATACGTATGTTCACGTGATTATTGTCACACGAGCCAAATATCATGCTCTTGGACAATACAAAAGATAATCATAATCATAATAGACGAGTTCTGTATGTTTGCATTCAAATACTAAGGTGAGCATGCTGGATTCCATAATGGGCCTCGTTAGACTAGGTAATAGTAAAGCAAAATATCAAAAATAGTGGCGCCCACGAATGATAGACATCCATTCTAGATGAGCTAATTCTTCATAGAAGGGAGGTACGGGCGTTCGTAAATCGTTCATTGTAAAGTATTAGTATTAGGCAGACCGCAAACCTTGATTTGCTTATTTTAGAAGAATAGATATTTACTTACATGTAAAATGAATTAGGCGCAGAAATGTCAGCAATATCGGAATTATTAACCAAGTCACAAATAATAACGTACACTATCAATGTCTTCCCCTGTCACAAAAGATGATATGGTGGTAAAAACAATCATTGGGAATGAGAATTTTAATCAATTATACTTTTTTGGTAGAAGGTTGATCACTAGAATTTTCTTTTGTCACATGTTTGTCTACAACTTCAGATTTCAAACTGTTGTTGTTGTGATACTAATATGTGGTGAAAAGGAAATAGTCTAAATTCTGTTGGTGCGCTCTAACAGAATTACCTTACATCAAAGAACGAAAACGAATTCCAGTTCGTCGCTAAAAACTGTTGTAAAACCCAAGACTTTTTCATTGCTTCGTATTAATTGTTCTCTTAGCCAGTACAGAAATATTTGCTGTTGTAATAGAGACTCATAACTTAATTGGATTGCTTGACTGTATATTACCTTATCCATTCTCTCTCATATTCGAGTATATTCTTATTTCATCTTTTTCATTTACACTTTTAAGAATGAGTCTTTCTTTGACAGACCGACTCGTTGAACTAAGCAAGGCACGGAACAATGGCCTTATTTCAGAAGAAGAATACGCGGCCATGCGAGCTCGCCTGCTCGATTCCTTTGCTACAGTCACTATACCGCCTCGCACAGCTTCTATGCCACAGGAATCAGACACACGACAGTCGCGCACATCTTTAGTTCCTCCATCTCGACCCTTACCGCAACCACCTATACCGAATTACGCACTGAACCGATGCAGAGATGACTTACTTCCGAATGGCGCCGCAAATTTAGCCACCACACTGTATGCACGGCAAGGTAGCAAAAGTGAATTGAACCTAAGATCATTGCCGAGAGACTTGCCGGTTGCTGGACGACCGGGAACAAGTTCTAGGCAAGCGGCGAGCGATAGGCAGCAGCGAGCGCGCACGCTGATACTACAGCACGAGTACGACTACGAACATAAGCAGCAATACCAGCAACGTTATCGTCATCAGCCACAACAACCACAGCAGCAGCAGCAACAGCAACAACAAGAGCAACAGCAACAACAACAACAACAACAACAACAACAACAACAACAACAACAACAACAACAACAACAACAACAACAAGAACAAGAACAAGAACAAGAACAACAACAACAGCAACAACAACAACAACAACAACAACAACAACAACAACAACAACAGCAACAACAACAGCAACAGCAACAGCAACAGCAACAAGAACAACCGTCATATGGACCGAGCTTATGGGCACGCTTACGAGACACCATGACTGAAAGGCCTGGGAGTGTTGTAGTTACTGCAAATAACATTTTGAGCATGCCTAATGGTAGGATTGAATTTGCTCAATGCTGAATGAAGACTTAAGATGATAGAAATGAAATTCGTTTTTTACTCATTATCGGACAATTATCTTAGGCTATGACGAGTCGGTACCCGAAACGCCGCCACCACCATACTCACCGCCGGAACCACGTAAGTAAAACATTGTCTTTCTATATAACCTTACTGCTTCGCATCTCTTTTAATCCCATCTTAAATCTTCGCGAAACGTCTTCTTGTCCCTCAAGTCCCTCGGCGCCGCCGTGCCTCCACAAGCTTTTTCATGAAACAGAAAACGGCTGCAGAACTTCGCGAAGAACTAAGTAAACTTGTTGATGACGCTAAACGAGAACAAGACTCGTGGAAAATGGAAGAAGCTCGACTGAAAATGAAAATGGTTACCAAACCCGAAGAGATTGAACGTGTCCGTAGAAAACAAAGAGCGTCTGCGGAAAAGTATACTCGAAAGATCGAGGCAATTAATATTAAACTGAGCATTGCACTCGCTATAGAACAAGCATAAGCGAAGTCGTAGAATGTGAGAGGAATGTTGACGCGTATGTAGATGCCGCTCGATAAATAGATAAGAGCGGTTAAGATGATTTGTTCTATCATTTGACTCCCATAGAAACAATAGAATGACCGAATGCCTTCACATAATGGAGGCACATCAGAATGATTCAAAGACATTTTGGAAAAAGAAAAATAGAAAACAGAGAGCGGCCTCTTACTGTTCCGAGATTTTCGATATTGCCTATTTCCCCTTTATTCTTTGCAATTCCCCTGTATATATAAACCTAACTTTCTTACGAATCGTCTTTTTTAATGAAAAAGTTTCGCTTCTTATTCTTTATATGACGGACTATAAGGTTGTCTGCATGGACACATTGGAGGATGTTGAATTGGATCTTTCGAACTTATTATTGTTTAGAGCTTCATTGATTTCTTCAAATGATGTGAAGTGCCGTTGTAATAGTATCTTAATGTCTTCAAAAACTATCATTTGAAGGGGCAGGGTGATTAACAGATTAAAGAGATTGTCTCATTCAATAATTGACTTTAACAATTGAATGCAAATATTATAGCTCGGTTCTTAATTCACCTTTGTCGGCATATTCAACGTCTTTTAGATATACTTTTTGCAAAAAATCGACCATAGCTCCAGTACTAACAGCACATTCTTCCACAGGAAGTGTATCATAATACGAATGGTCGATTTCGAATGGATTAGTTGGCGGTGGTGAAAGTGATAAAGTTATGATTTCGGCCATTATGTTCCATAGTATGACGTCTACATACATCAGTACACGAGCGCATCTGTTAGTTAATTAACCCTTTGACTTAGAACTGAACTATCGTTTGATACCTTGCGTTTTCCATGCAGCTATTGTATCGAGTTTAAGCGGACTATCGGTTTCAAGTTGCTGGTTATCTTGTATTTGAATTAGACTTTTATGGTTTGAACGAAGCTACAAGCACAAATCAGAATTAAACAAATATTCGAACACTTGACAGAACCATCAGCGGAACAGAAAACTTACCCAAACATAAGGACACTTATACCGGGCATAGCCAGCAATCAGGAAAACGGTTTTAGACTCATCCTGCCAGATAATTGTTTAGGACGAGACAGATGTTAGAAGTTTATATTCTCCTTCTCGAGATTGACAAAAGTAACTTGGAGATACCTTTTCCAAATCCTTGTCCAATGGGCTAGGAAGTAACGAGACACCGTTTTCATTTGCATATATGCCATTATTTAAGCTAGTGGCAGGCAAATGCCCGAAACCAGTTTTAATAGTCATTACCGAAATTTACGTCAACTCGTGTGAACACCTAACATGTTACTTACAATTGCCGCGTCCTCGGAGAGAACAATGCGTTGCTCCTAAGACAATATAACAGAATGTCAAATGTGAGGCCTGACGCAAATCAAATTTGTCCAAGAGCCATCTTTGAAAACCTTACTGCAACTTCGCCAATGATAAGGAATTGTAATTTCTCCGACTTGTCTCACATGTTGGGGTAGTAGGCTTACCAACGTTGTATATACGAAGCAAGAGTTCTTCGCGTCCCCTCAAGTACAGCTCAAAATGTTTAAAACCCTGCGCGATGGTAAGCGAAGTCTTAGTCGCAGTGCATCTTCCTCGGAGCAGTTGGCTTTAGTTGATTAATACCTTTAAGCTACCGACAGACAGACAGTCCGCGAGGAAGGCATTCAAACGTGCCGTTTCTGATGTTGTTGGATGGTCAGCGGACATTCTGGTTGAATTATTAGGAAATTGCAAGAATACAAGTGAAGACGGACCAGTTTGCCTTTTGCTTAGCGGCTTTATATTTATCAGCAGTCGGACATTCCTATGACGTTTTGATCCAATTTTAAAAATGATGTGATTGATAGACTATCATTTATAAATGAAACAAAGCGAACATCTGACGTCATGTGCGATGTTGTTAATTTGCTAATATTTCATCAATCTTGGCTTTTTCCCTGAATTCAAAGTGAACTTTGTTGTACTTCTTTATTAATCCTGAATTCACTATCAAAAGTTCGCTTCTAATCTCCTACACAAAAACTTTTCCTATTAGAAGATTGCCATAATATTAATGAAAAGTTTAAATCAGTCGTATGCTATACATCTTCATTTTGCAAGACAAAGTGATTTTCTGGCAGTAGTAGAACTCGAAGGAGGTTAGGACAGGCGAGAGCTGGGATAATTTCTCTTTTTATTACTATTTTAGCCGCACCAGCCATTTTGAAGTACGTGTCAAAGTCTTGCCCCCAATAGCATCATTCCTAAAATTAGCAAACTCAAATCTTTATTGTTCTAATGCTACCTTTAATACACAAATTCAATAAAGCAACTCTAGAGAGTATCAGAGACTTGGTGGAAAGATAACCTGCCAAAGAATGACAAAATTCTAAAATGTTCGGTTTATCTGTAATTTAATTCAGTTTACTTATTAAACCCAGCATCACGGGCACGAGACGTGTTTGTCGAGAGACAGACGATCTTGCGAAGTATGTCCATTTGTTCACTTCACTCACGTGCACTTTTAGGTTGTTTAACTTTTCTCAACAAAATGTACTTGAATCTGGCCTTAGCTCTTTGAAATATCGCCGTAAAGAAAACAATGACTTAGTTTTTTGTGGCAATGTTTGCGTTAATTCGCCATGCATTTGCTTACTGTACAGATTTCTGGGAGAAAACAGGCACGTCCTCGTTAAAAAATTCTTAGAATACCGACTTCTTACTGACAACCCCAACGAAAACTCGGACGTTGGGAAGAAGGTAGTCCAGTGGCAAATAAGATTCTAGGCAAGTCTACTTGTTTGTTAGTCAATTTGATGGCTCGCTCCATCATCAGTTACCCTGTCAGCTGCTTACTTCATACTTTGAATTAGCAAGAGTGCTAGAAGTCTAGTAACTGGGCATGACAATGCTGAAGCACATTGCTTTGGTCAAAAACCAAGGAAATAATATCTGATGTGAGTATTTTTTTTTTTTAGAAGTTGATATTGTAGTCGGCTGAAACTAATTATCAGCTTTTGTTTCATGATAATACATTCCAGTGTCATAATACAATAGCAGCCATAAGTATCATATTCCTTCTAAGAGTGAGTAAATGCTTTGTTCTCTGCGTATGGTGTATAAGAAACCCTGATCACCTGCAAAATTTCAGCTCAATCGGATGTCTCTAAGAAAAACTTCCAAACAGCTAATATTTGTCATGAAACCATATCAAACCTCTAATCAATTTGCGTGATCTTTTCTTTTTTTTGTTTGTCAGATCTGTATCTACGTACGTCGCGGTCGAATCAGTAGAAAATTGTTATTATACTTAGCAATAAATACCAATCAACATCATTATATTGCATGATCCGTAGTAGCGATCACACAGTAATCTTTTAAACAAAATAAAAATAAAAAGATCACGAAATTTGATTAGAAATATGAATTTATGACCGAAATCGCGCATGACATGATATTAATATATCTTGAGGTAAAAACATTTGGTATTTGAAGGTTTTTCTAGAGACATCCAATTGAGCTGAAATTTTACAGGTGATCAGGGTTATTTATACACTATACGCAGAGAAATTTTCAAAGCATTTCAAAATGCAATGCTGTAAAAATGGATGACACGAATACTTGTTAAATACAAAATAACACGTTTCGGTACGCCTGAATATACAGACGATAGAATAATTCACTATCATCCGAAAAAGTGATCATTACGTCCATTTATGAAAACTAGACGTTACACCAAATATTTCCATTTATTATTCGTATTAACTATGGAGAAATTTAGTCATGCGCATCACGGTATGGTGGTTAAAGAGGCATTTTAAATCTAAATTGCGTGCGGGATACTAGAAGGATGTCCTTTCCAGCGTTGCTTCTGAATATGAGAAATGCATCACGATTCGAGTGGTCCAAAGCATTTATAATTCTTGAAATTACTGGTGGGTTATGATTATACGTTATTTTCAAGCTGTAATGTTGAGTCTTGCCTGTTGGCAATGGAGTGAAAGTAACAACCATTTGGCTAGAATAGTTATGAGAACATTTGTCGGCTGAATCAATCCTCAATGACTCATTACCATCATCGATCTCTCTTCCATGCTGTGCCGATTAGTCGCTTTAGCATTCCGAAGTAACAATGATAACCATGCGAAGACCTAGCTATATTTTTACCATCTTCTTTCGCATTTTATTCTTATGCCTCCACTTGTCCCAGAACTCTCTCAGATTTGCATTCTTAATACGATGTGAAGACCAGTTGGTCAGAATTGCGCAGATACAACATATGACATTAAAAGAGATCCTGTAAGATCTCTTTTTCGCCAAAGTGACAAGTCTGCCGGATAACATCAGAGGCCTACCTGTAAGAATTCCTCATAGTCTTTTAATCTGCATAGCTTGTCAGATAATTTGGCTGTAATCCCAACATCAGTCACGGGACTCGCATGAGTACCAATTAGACATCGTCAATCACATGTTTTTGATTTCCAGCCACAGTGGTAATATAACTTCGTTCAATATTACACATTTCAACGACATCTACTCTTTTAATCTTTCTCACACCTAATGCTACGAACGGATACGTCCACCCAACATACAAATGCCCACACGTCCGCGTCTGCCATGGCTTCCACATTCTCTCGAAATACTGGGCTACCTACAGTCTCCCCAATGTCGCCAGCTTCGACACCATTATCTCCGCAACAGTTGTCGTCGTTGAAGTATCAGATCGTTGCTTATAGACTGATCTCGAAGAATATGCCAGTTCCTCCTCATTTACAGCAGGCTATGTTTGGTCCCGGGGCTGTAATGAACAATTTATCAGCTCAGGAAGCTGCGGCTGCCACACTGCCAGCAAAATTGGTTGAAGGAGCGTATACGCATCATAGTCAACCTATTGGTGCTGGTAATACTGGGACTGCGTCAGTTGCGAGTGATCAATCTGCGCAACCAAATTCTTCACCTTCACCTGCATTGTACAATGCATATATTGATCCGTACACATATTTGAAGAAACCCTTTAGCCAGTCAGCAGGCTCTCGTTTCCAACGCCTATTGATCCCTAGTATAACGCCTCCCGGACTAGATCCAATTGATTTACTCATGGAAAGAGAGAGAAGAATGGAGGCGAGAAGGGAGCAGAGAATACGGCAATTAGAGAATAAGTTGGCTAGTTTGTCTAATGATGCTTTGAAGATGGGTGATGGGAGCGAAAAGGAGAATAAGAGTGCTTCTATAGCTAGTCCTAAGATTAAGGCTTTGATAGAAGTAAAGAGTTTAAAATTGCTGCTGAAAAGGAATAAGGTTAGTGAAGCGGAAGGAAGGCGTTTCTTAGTTTTTCTTTTTTTCCTTTTTTTTTTGATAAACAGAATTATCGAATGTCAGTTATTTATTAGTAACGTAGACATAATATTACATCATAATTGTGATATTGGCCATATTCAATACTGTTAATTATTAACCGTCTTGCTTATAGCTTCGCCAAGAAATCTATAAGGGCAACACCAAAACAGCTACCCTCGCAACATCAAATCATCGTGCAGATTTTCGTCGCATGAAGAGACCATCTCTACGGGATGCTCGCAAAACCGAGAAATTGGAACGCCAACAACGTGTTGATCGGGAACGTCGCGAGAAGCAAAAGCATCTTGATTATCTCCAATCAATCTGTACACATGGCCGAGATCTAATACAATGGCATCGCACAAACCAGGCGAAACAGTCAAAAATTGGTCGTGCTGTTCTCAACTATCATTCTCAAATTGAGAAAGAAGAACAGAAAAAAGAAGCACAGAAGGCAAAGGACAGGTTGAAAGCGTTGAGAAATGACGATGAGGAAGCATATTTAAAGTTGATCGATCAGGTGAAAGACACTAGAATTACGCATTTGTTGAAACAGACAGATGCATATTTGGGTAGTTTGGCCCAGGCAGTTTTGGCGCAGCAGAACGTTGAATTGCATAACGATCCGACCATGAAAGGTGAAATTGAGTTAATGGATGAGCAAGACAATACAGAGGTTGAGGTATGTTCTTGATAATTTGTTGTTAAATTGCGTGCACTTCACAATTATCTAATGCTCATTATTATTGCACACTATTTTATTCACTAGATTGATGGGAAGAAGCTCGATTATTTTGCTGTCGCTCATAAAATTAAAGAAGAAGTCGAACAACCTGCTCTATTAGATGGCGGCACTTTGAAAGAATATCAGGTTAATGCAAAGTCCTTAAGGCTATATCCATCATTATGTATGATTCTTACCCATTTTCTTTATACATCAAGGTTAAAGGGTTACAATGGATGGTATCTCTGTATAATAATCGTCTTAATGGAATCTTAGCCGACGAAATGGGTCTCGGAAAGACAATACAGACCATTTCATTAGTAGCATATCTCGTTGAGCGCAAGAAACAAAATGGTCCATTCTTGATTGTTGTTCCTTTATCGTATGTATAGTCTGTTAACTGCTTGTTTTTACCAGCTTTGGTTATCGGCTTATTAATTTACCCAATTTTTAATACGTTATTATAATAGCACTCTAACGAACTGGACCATGGAGTTTGAAAAATGGGCTCCTCAAATCACCAAATGTGTCTACAAAGGTCCCCCCAATGTTCGTAAAGAACTCCAACACACCTTCATTAAACACATCAATTTCCAAGTCCTTCTGACCACCTACGAGTATATTATCAAAGACAAACCCGTTTTAAGTAGAATCAGATGGGTGTATATGATTATTGACGAAGGTCACAGAATGAAGAATGTGAATTCAAAGTTGTCAACCATATTGACCAATTCGTATCAATCAAGATTTCGTTTAATTTTGACTGGTACGCCCTTGCAGGTATGAATGCAGTTATTGTAGAGGCTCTGATGCAGTTGCAGAGAATAACAGTATTATATTATTTTGCCAATAGAATAACCTTCCGGAACTATGGTCACTTTTGAACTTCGTTCTTCCAAGAATCTTTGATTCAGTGAAAAGTTTCGATGAATGGTTCAATACACCTTTTGCTAACACTGGTGGACAGGACAAAATAGCGCTTAACGAAGAAGAGGCATTGCTTATAATTAGGCGTCTACATAAAGTATGTTAATCTACAAAATGATTCCATCAGTACAATTGGGCCTACATTTATACATTCGTTACTCTTTGGGTTGGAATGGACTCTTGTCTGCATAAATAATTCATCTGTTACACAGGTATTACGCCCCTTTCTTCTGCGACGTCTCAAAAAAGATGTCGAATCTGAGTTACCGGAAAAAGTTGAAAAAGTCTTGAAATGCCGGTTTTCAGCCCTACAAACCCGACTCTATAGTCAAATGAAGAAGCATGGGATGCTTTTTGTCAGTACTGGCGAAAAAGGGTATGTTTTTATGACCAACCGAGAATGTGTGGCATATCGTTTTCTGCATTCTTTAGTTAACCGGTGATCGATTTGTCCCATAACAGCAAAACTGGTATCAAAGGCTTAAACAATACTATCATGCAACTTCGTAAAATATGTAACCATCCATTTGTGTTCGAGGATGTCGAAAAAGATATCAATCCGTCAAAAACAAGCAATAGTCTTCTTTACCGTGTCTCTGGGAAATTCGAATTGCTGGATAGGGTTCTCCCTAAATTCTACAGAACAAGACATAGGGTATGTACCTATTGACCAATTATACGGGATATTAATTCCATATTATTTTCTTGTATTAATTATTTTCCTTTACAGGTGTTGATCTTTTTCCAAATGACGGCTATTATGAATATTATGGAGGATTTTCTCCATTATCGTCGATACAAATATCTTCGATTAGATGGTTCAACGAAGGTCATATATTTGACGTAACTGCTCTAAATTTATTTCATTCTGCGACTGCAGCAAGTATTGAACTTATTTCTCTCACGTAGGCCGAAGACCGCTCTACCTTGCTTAGATTATTCAATGCAGAAGACTCTGACTACTTTGTATTCTTGTTGAGTACTCGAGCTGGGGGCTTGGGATTGAACTTGCAGTCTGCAGATACTGTGATAATTTTCGATTCTGATTGGTGAGTAATACTAGGAACTAATTTGAGACGGATAATCATATCGATTTGGTTAGGGGTATGTCCGACCTTTCAATAAACATTCATGTCTCGTTATAAATAGGAACCCTCATCAGGATCTTCAAGCTCAAGACCGTGCTCATCGTATTGGTCAAACGAGAGAGGTTCGCATTTTGCGACTGATTTCACAAAAGTCGATAGAAGAAAATATTCTGGCCAGAGCACAGTATAAATTAGATATTGACGGGAAAGTAATTCAAGCTGGAAAATTTGACCAAAAGAGTACAGCAGAAGAGCGAGAGGCGTTTTTGGTACGTTGAGTAAGCTACTAATCATCGCTCAATGCTATACCTGCCTGCGGGTTTTGTTATAAATACTTCTGTCTAATAATAGATGATCTTCCGAGCAGTAAAATTCGTCCACATCAATTAACAATCAATCTGTTTTTCTTCTTTCTTCACAGCGAACATTATTAGAAGGTGACAACAACGACGAAACAAATGATGTCGATGACGACGAGATTCTCGATGACGAAGATCTAAATCTTATTATCTCGCGCAATGACGAAGAACTTGCACTGTTTAAACAAATTGATCAGGAGCGCAAACGCGAGGAAGAGGCTGAATGGCGACGACGAGGAGGTCGTGGAAAATGTCCAGAAAGATTGGTACAAGATGAGGAGTTGCCTGATATGTATCGGAAAGACGAGGATATATTATTCAACCAGAGCCAAGACCCCATGGAATACGGTCGAGGGCAGCGCACTAGGGGTGAGATTCGGTATGATGATGGTTTGACCGAAGAACAGTGGTTAAATGTAAGTAATGAATAACTTGTTAACTATAATATTTGCAACCGTTGATTACAAATTATTTAACTCTAATATTCTGATCCCATCTAATCTATATAGGCCATTGAAGACGAAGAAGTTGACGTCGCGGAGGTAATTGCCAAGAAACAGGAAGCAAAGAGACGACGAGAAGCAAGAAAACGTCTCAAGGCGGAGAAATCTAATCATAATGACATGCATCCAATGGAAGACGTGGTTGACATATCGGAGTTTAAGAAGAAACGTGGTAGACCACGGAAAGAGGATTACCCTGGTGACGACGCTAGCGCTGTTGATACGAGTAAAGCGAAAAAGAAAAAGAAAGGGAAGCAAATGGAACGTGATGACGATGACGAAATGCCTAAGGTGAGTAACGAGAATGGTAGATGACTAATCATAAGGAAAATTACGTGTATCTGATGTATGCACTTGTGAATAGAAAAAACGGAAAATCAAGAATGACGTGGTCGATACCGTTCCCGAGAACGTTCGTAAACAAATGACACAGATATTCACGCAATGTTATGACGTGGTTAAGAACTGTATGGATGAGTCTGAAGGGTGAGTAATAAGTCTAAGATAATGGGACACTATATACGTCTTACCTGTACTGTATAATCTATATCGTTTTCTCCCTTTTTTATGCAGCGAGCCTCGCCAACGGGCGTTTTTATTCCTGGATCTACCTAGCAAGAAGGTGTATCCTCAATACTATGTTATGATAGCCAAACCAATAGCGTTGGATATTATAAAAAAGAAAATAAAGAACAAAAGCTATCGAAATGTCAAACAGTTTAGGGAAGATTTCCATCTGATGTTCGAGAATGCAAAGACGTTCAACGAAGAAGGGTCCCAAGTGTACATGGATGCATGCGAGTTGATGGTAAGAACACATGATTGATGTTCGTTGTCAATAGGGAGATGCTAATCTAATTGACGTTAAATTACAGAGAATATTTGACGAGAAATTCGAAGAACTCTGCCCTAATGGCGAATTACCGTCTTTAGAGGACGCCGAAGTCCAGGAGGCAACAAACTAGAACAAATAGAACATTGATTAATATTGTTTAGTGTACTGTCATGATATATTGAGTCGATCGAGACTGCATCGGATGAAGATAGACTAGTTAGTTATTATGTATAATCAAAGATGTAGACCGCGATATCGTCAAATAAAGCAGAGACAATTGCATACAGCAAACATAAATTATCTTGATACTCTGATTGACGTTTAAATTGCGTTTGCTTCTTGCAAAAGTAATTAGAACGCCAGAGCCAGAGTATCAATTTTTATTTAAGAGGTTAGCCATCAGTTACTATTAAAATATACACAGGGTTCAAATACATATAAAATACAAGCCCTAAGTGTTGAACAGGCTTCCCATCATCTTAGCTAGGGAATAAATAAATAATAAATAAATAATGTGTATGTATATATACTATTTTAAACCTCTATACTAAATATTTATCTATCTTTTCATTTCTTCCCTTTCTTGTCTTTCTTCTTTTTCTTTTTCTTTTTGTCCTTTTTCTTTTTGTCCTTTTCCTCTTCCTCCATCGGGTAATCATACTCTTGATACCCATTATCATTGGATATCTCCTGTGCATTCTCAAGATCATTCTTTTTCCTTCTTCTCACATGATAGTTCCGCGCAATCAGCATAATTTGCCATAAGATTCTCCCCACCAAAAAAACTATAGCAACGGAAAGTGAGATACCCAAAGTCAATAGCTTGTGATCAGTTTCTTTTCCAGTCCTCTCCCGTATTCCTCCCAAATCAGATACGAATGCAAACCCGAGCCAACAAATATATAGCAAACATATCAAGTCAGATGTTACACCCAAACGATCTACTTGGCTTTGGGATAGATGATGACGGCCAATGAGAAGATAGGCTTCTTTCTTGGCGAGAAGAACACCAAAGCCTTCAATTAGACTGAGAGAATGGTTGGTGTATTTATATATCTGATAAATGTTCACAAAACGAGGAAGTAACTCAAAAGCCGTTATTAAAAGAAAAGCTGAACGAGCTATCATTTTGCCATGTCCGCCCAACTATATAATGTGATATAGTAAAAGGAATGATTAAAATTAATACGCAAACGAAAAGGAAGAAGATTTGGATAAACGCATCCATCACAATTATTGTTACAGAGACGATCACTGGATTTAAATGCATGTTAATAACTCACCTCACTATAATAAAACTTGATCAGAAGGACACTTGCTAACAAGGTATACATGTTCAAGAAAGCAAAACCGAGCCAGATCAGTTTTGTCCATGATGACGGGTTTAACATAGGCGATGGATCTTCATCTATTTTTGGGCGATCTATCGGACCGCTCTTTATAGGTTGCAATGATGGCTTAATAGTAAAGTTTTCGGTTTTTTCTGTTAAGGCTATTTCAGATTCACTGGTTATCGTTTGTAATTCATAGGCTGAAAGGTCGTGTACACTATGTATCGGAGTGTGTACTGGGCTAAAGCCATTTGCTTGTTGTGCTTGCTGTGTATGTGCTTGTTGTGTATGCAGAATTTGGTAGTTCTCTATAGTGCTTTGAGCGTTACCCATACCACCGGTAATGTATGCATTGTGCAAAGGTTGAGGTTGAGGCTGAGGTTGAGGTTGAGGTTGAGGTTGAGGTTGAGGATAAGGTGTTGAATGTGGTGGTTGAAACTGGTGTGCAGTTGGAATATTGACATTAAAAGTCTGGGCATACGGGTAATTTGCCGAGTAGTCATCTGAACGTCCATAGTTGTAGTGGCTTCCTGCTGGTTCCATAGTAAGGTATGGAAAGCAATTAATGGACGGGGGAGGGCGAGTAGGCAATAAAAAGAATGTGCGTGGGGCGAGGGAGTACAAGTCGTAGTCTCCTCTGACACGTTAGGGAGATGTTAATTTAAATATTGCAATTGTTGAAACTCAGTCTAAAGCGTATTTTTATTTATGATCCCCCCCGCAGTTTAATCAGGCAAGTGTAACTTGGTGAATTAAATTGTAACCAATCATCAGTACGTTGCATAAATAGAGTGTCTTGTGGATCCACATTATCTTCTTCAGGAATTGAAACAAGAACATATAAGGTATGGGTTACAAGACAAAGGTTAATACTCTTTGATGATTTGGTGGTTTTTTAGACATAAACGGTGCTATTCTAATAAGCATTGTAAGGATACAACAATGTTTCAGAATCATCGGTACTCACACTACCTGTTGTTATACCTGTTCTGCCGAACGGAGGTCGTTAGATTAAGATGTTCAGCCCATGAAGTTTCTTCATAGGGTTATGCAAATTATATCAATAAACCGTATGTTTAAAGCAAAGAAAGTTTTGGGAGGTCTAACGCTATATGCTTAGAACATTTAATTCCGTAGGGTTAAGGCTAACAATTGAAGTTAGAAGTTCTGCAATGAAGATTGCGAACCATAATAATAATACAGTACTTACCCAGGTTTTTGGGCGGTCACGTGGACATCAATTGAGAAAAAAAATATCTATCGCTATAATCCACATTTCTTGGCATCGCAATTTCTGGCACGCAATTATTTTTTCTGGAAATATAATTTTTGGAAGCCGAAGACAAACTTAGTATTATAACGGCGCTAGAATATCAATGAGAGTCGTGCAACAAGGGCTGCTTAGACTTGCTGTAGCCAGGAGGCATATCAAGTTGTACGCCAAATGAATAAACAATTGATCGGCCTACATACAGATTTGTTACGCTTATATCGGAAGGGAAGTTGGGAAATTTGGATTGTGTGTGGCCAATAAATCTGGTCCGAAAATTTGTTGCAAGTGTTTAAGTTCTTTTCGTTGATTCATCGATTTGTTCCTCATAACATAGTCATAGCACCTTCTTCCCTTTCCGTAAACACATGAGTAACACGCTGTCAAAGTGCGATTTATAATGGCTTCCCCCTGCAATTTACAAAATGTGTACCAGATGTGCCAAGAGCCAATCATAACGTATATTTTTTCTTGCCAAGACATCTTGCTTCAAACCCCGAAGTCCTTTTCGTATCCATTATTATTACCGTTGATATTCGGATTAATAATTTCGATAATAGACAATCACAAATGCGCCTTTACTTCAAATCATAGATATAAATGCGTCGAATTGTATATGTTCTACACAATCACGCGATAGATGCAGTGTTCGTACATATGCATAGAGTGTACGCCAAAATTCCAATGCTGTAGAAAAATTCGATAAATGTTATATAACTAATTAGTTGGCAGCGTCGCTACATGTGTGAATTATAATTTATGAGAAAAAAAAGTCATGTGTTTGTCGATGTAAACTAGCGAGTATGCGGTACATTGTAAAATAGCGGCAGTAGAAATTATTGCAGAAAGTAGATTACAGCTTAGCTAACTCTCTGGACTAATTCTAACCTTAACGAAAGCTAGTGGTAGTAGCAAATTTGATTAATCGACCTTGCTATTAACAAGTAATGGGGGGGAGACGTAATATAGGCCGATTCTCACCACATCCAGGATTATTTTTGACAGGATCGGCGTGACAAAAAACTTTAGCTATGAGTAACTATAAAGGGCTTCTCGGCTGAGCAACGAGCTAATCTCGAAGTCAACTAGTTAATCGTTCTCCCGCATTAGCTATACGACAAAGGATCACTATATCTGCCCGTATCATGTTTCCAAGGCGCGGTCTCAATGTCACATTTTATATAATAGAATGTCAACGGGAATGTAGTGTCCTGACAGAAGTGAGTGATCACCCTGAAATTTTGCTGACTGAACGCTAGAAGCAGATTTGACTGGTTAACGGGATGAGACACAAGATTAAAAGGGAAGATGGTAATGCCTGAAAATTCGAAGCTAAATTCTTAGCGATTGCTTCTACGCTATAAACAGTGACGTATTCCGACGACGGTACCGCAGCAATCAATCCGATCGGCAGTAACACCAGAATTTGCAACAGTGGTACAAGCAAGCATCTGCAGTACAGTGGATTCTCCCCAAGTGCATGATCCCTAAGTGCATTATCTCTCTAAGTGCAGGAAATAATCTGGTCCATGTTGGGACCTATGAGATAAGTGCAGGTTCTCCCTATTCTATAAGTGCATGACATTTGTTGGCCCCTTATATGTAAAAATGTTCCCTAAGTGCATTTCCGTTTAAGTACTGCATTATTACTCTTTAATCTCTACAAAAATTAAAAGAACTACATTAACAAACAAGCAAAAATTGCTTGTTCTCAAGTACAAAGACAGTAACCCTAATGCTACCCGTGTAGATGTTGCTCAGTGGGTTAATATTAAGGCAATATAGACATATAGACATCAACCCAATGACTACACACAGTGAAGCACTGAAGGCATTAGACATTGTTTTTTACAACAAAGTCAAGATACTGTATGTCAGAATATATCGGCACGATTTCAAAAATCACCAAGATGGTGAGAAATCTGCAAGTTACATCGTTTCAGCAGACTAACCTTGAACAGTTTTTCAACTCTAATACTCTTGATAAAGAATTCCGGTAAATGTTTTGAGTATTTACCGCTTTTTGCAACATCTGTTGTTTAAGAATAAAACCAATATAGTAGCAAATAAAGTATACAAATATACCCACGTGAATTCAATATTACTGGTTCTCCCTAAGTGTAGGTTTCTCTCTAAGTGCATTGGCTTTGGTCCCAACGACCTGCACTTATACTTAGGGAGAGTCCACTGTATTAATAATAATGGAAAAATAATTAGCAGCGTACATCAGCGATAGTAAAAGTAAAGACGTATACTGAGAATAATAGTTAAATAATTAGTAATAGCTGCTAAAATAGGTCAATTAGTCGCTCGAAAGATATACAAGCAGCATAGATCTCAGCTAGATGGCAGTTCCTTAAATTACTCTGAACTTATATTATTGACACCCTATTCTCTAAATTAGTTGATATATCTGAGAAACCGCTAATCCAAGAATAGTCGCCTCTTGTCCTGCGATTATCTGAGTGGCGAGTTACGATATTTAATTGTTATTTAGAAACGCGTTTATTCTTAATCATATACTAGTGTACCCCCAAGGGAGGCTATCGACTTAATCCCACGACAGAGTTACTCGAGTACAATTATAATATCCAGGATTAGTGTCACTCTACGATCGTAAATGCAAAGCCTTGATTGGACAAGGTCGCTAACTGTAATCCGAGATTTAACTAGAGAAGGAGGCCACGCTCCGTCGAAACTAGCTAAGCCGTGATAGTCGGTACGATATCTTCCTCGATTGTTGACTCGACAACTTTATATAATAAAAAATTGGATATTGTCGAAATCTAAACCAAATTGTCAGAAATTTTGTGATTATATATTTTGAACACGACAAATTTTTTGCATTATGCCTAAATTTTTAACATAAATTTTCATCTTTGAATGTAAGCATTTATTTTTCGTTCAATATTTATACAGCGACAAGTACGCACGTACTGAGATATTGTAAACAAATTTACTTATTGTGCCATGGCCGGTTGCATTAGTAAAAAAATTACTTCACATATTACATATTGGCTCTTTTAGCAAATTTCAGGATGATTACTCACTTTTGTTATAACCAACGAAATATTATCCCCAAGAGCTGACCATATACGAATCTTTTTTTGCAAGCAATCTTAAATTTATTGGCCCTTTCATTTCTGCTGAGAATCATGCTAAAATATCAAACTTTACAGGGTAGCAAACATTACTTGTAGTGTTTCTTAATAGTATAAGATTTTTGACTTCTCTCTTCTCTCTGTTTTGAGGTAATAGTTAATTAGAAGCAGAATGAGATTATCATTTAAGGTATCACGACAGGTTCTTCACTCACTTTAGCTGTATTTTGAAAACTTCTAATATCCCGGATAAAGTGCAACACCCAATCCCAAATCCCTGTCCTCGGGCAAATGAATATTGCCCTGATGTAAGATATCCGATTATCTCATTCTTTGGAGGAACAGTCGGTTGATTTTGAGACTTTATACAAACCAAATGTCATTATTGGTTGGTTTAGTGTTGCTAAATAGTTAATAACAAACTACTCACTTGAGATTCATCTTGCCGACGTCTTTTCGCACTTAAATTCTTACAGACTATTCCATAATTTCTTTGTTCAAGTCGGTATAGAATTGCACATCTTTGAGGAATACCTTGATCTGACATCGTTATCTTTACACGTACCAGTGCTTTAGATAAATCCAACTTGAAATTGAAGTTAGATCCTCTACCTTCCATATACTTCTGTATTCTCTCTTTACATTTTTCTTTTAATTCCTCAATATTATTGGCATCATTTTTTACTATATCAACAAGTTTTGATCCCTGCAATAGCCATAACCCCCCATCTTTATCATGCTTCTCGTTTTGTTCAGCTGAATCAGTTTCCTCATTAACCAATCTTTCAAATGATGGTATGAACGGTTCTTCTATCTCAAGTTTCTCATAATTAACCCTTTTAGCTGGCGGTTTCTTATTATATTCATTCTCCAAACTTTTCTTCTCTTTTATCTGATATTCTCGGTACGCTTTGCATCCAGGAAAATCATAAGGAAAGCAGGATTGGCCACATTCAAAATGCTGGTTTTTTCTTTCTCTTAATCCACCAACCCATGCTCCAGCAAACACGAAAGATTTCCAAAACGGCATTCCCCAGCGAGATGGAACGATCACAGTCCAGCCATTAATAAACTCTTGAGAAGGATAATGCGCAAGAGATGGAGAACTGCGAGTGATTAAGAGAATAGGAATCTTACTATCTTCAGGAAAGGGCGTAAGTTTACGGCCAGGGATCAAAAACTAACAAAGAGAAGCATCAATGAAATAAGTTACTGACACATAGAGACAGAGGTAAACCCAAAACATTGAAGGGTATAGTTTTGTCTAGGCGGTCATGTACAACTTCAGGGTAGTCACGTGGCAATATAAATTAAAATGGGATCGGAATTTACGACGCTGAGAGCTCAATTTCAAGCAGACGAACGAACAAACAAACAAACAAACAAACAAGCAAATGCTGCTACAATAGGCACATACCTTTTGTCGACGTTTGTCAAGGTCCCCATCAGAAACCTTATTTGTGGCCAGATTTTGAAGTATTACATCGTCCCAAATGTCCGATTGCATAACCATTTCGGGCCAATGAAGAAGAATCTCGTGCATTTCCTCTTCGGCTTCTTTTTCTATAATATTTGTCCTCGAATTTACTTTCTTTGGAAATCTAACACATTGAGAGCATGTCAGAGCATGTTGCATCAATATTTGTTATAGAATAAAAAGTAAAAAACTTAAACTTGACTTACTGTAGTCGAGGATCATGCACAGTCAAACCTAGAACGACTCCGGGAGGTAAAGAGGCGGGTGTTCGCAAATCTCTAAACGCGCGCCAAGTCTGCAATGAGATTAAAAATTTTGGTTATATCGCATGTTTGTCAAACAGCTTGTCAAAAGGCTTATATACTTTATGTGCGTCAGCGTTGATCTGAACACCCTTCGTTGTCGTATCTTCCGTCATATCATTGGGAGCGTCATTACTTGTACATTCTCTTTCATCGACAAGATCTAAAACTGTTTGCAATAATGCAGTCGATCTTGGACCAGCCAACTCAAACATAAGAAAGTCTGACTGTCGAATATTGATGTTTACTGTTGTATGGAAACAAAAAATTCGTGATTATTCTCAATTCGCGTAGAGTGAACAAAAATGTCGTACATATTCTCCAATACCAACGTTCATGATCTATGGATATCTCTTTCTTCGCTTCTTGGAGGACGTCAAACACTTCATCAAATGCCGACGCGTGCACCCACATTAGCATGCTTCGAATCTGACTATTCGTGTCTGTGACAGGCTTCCACAGCAAGTGAACAGGTGAAATGAGATGCATTGGATATCCTTTGTACGCGTACATGTACGTCGAGCAATACCTTTTTCCCGAGCGATACCTTTACGAAGATAAACCGTCAATATTTTGATTCTCATGCGCTATATATATATTTGACGCTGTCTTAATAATACCAAGGGCATTCTTTTATTATAGAAGGTTTCTTCTAGGGCAACGGGCAAACACTATACCTTTCGCTCATGATCCAGTTTTCGCACGGATTCAAGACGAACTTGAGTACGTCAGTTATACTTTGCTCGAAGCCGTCAATGCGTATCCAGCCAAAGTAAGACGCGTCGTGAATCATGGAAAGATGAGAACTTGCACGATATGATGACTTGATACTCTTTTCACATGGATGATCTGCCTTTATGGTTACGGATGGTAATTTTGCGAGGAATGTTGTGCATTTGAATAAGAGGAGCATATAGACAAAAAACCATTAAACTATATATCAATATTACCAGTCTGAATCCCCAAAGTTCGGTCATTTTCATTCTTTTCGCGTGCCATATATGGGTTTCGAGCCATTTCTTTGTAGCTTGAAAACGTAAAGGTTTTGATGTAATGTTTGAATTTAATAGCGATCAGCGCTCAGGTATCAAATTACCTTGTCGACGCGTATATTCTTGGATTTTATTCTTTTGTCTTCTTCGTACACGCCTTGTCTGCTCCTTCGCATTGTTTTTTTTATCCTGTGCCTAAAATCATCTACATGTCAATATCTTGACAAAAATCACGATCGTAATCGATAATACAACGTTGCCATATTTAGTCACCTCATACTTGGCCCTGGCTCTTAAACGAATCGGCAGTCTTTTCACATTATGACTCGCAGCTCGACGTCGGAGACGACGAGGGAGCAACTGTGATGCATTTGAGTTACGACCTTGCCTATTTTAAAATGATCGAGTGATCGTAGTTTTGTTGAACCCTTAATAAAGAGATGAGAACATCAAATTTTAACCTACTCAGCGCGTTTCAAAGCATCGTTCATAGCACTAATTTCAAAAGCACGCGCCTAAAGTCGTCTAGTTAGAACTTATGTCTTTGGGGGGGGGATACAATACTGATACTCAAGTGTAAACGAACCTCCGCAAAGTCTACTACATCAATCGTTCTCGGTGCTTGACTAAATACTAAGCAAAGTAAAGCTTGGGATAAGGCTCGAAGTAATATTTAGATGCTGTCTACAAGACTAACTTTACCTGCAGAGCTGTCGTCAGTAGCCTTGGCTTGTGTTTCAATAGCTCGGCGAGCTTGTATTTTAGCTGAATAAATGTAAGTTGTATATGTGAGCACAAAAACTTGCTAGGCGTAAGATCAACCTGCCTGCAGTCTAAGTCTAACCTTTCTTTCTTTCCTGTGTTGCGAGAGATGACTCGTCACTCTTCCTTTTCCCTTGAACCGGCGTGCTCATATCTTTGTATATATTCAAACTTAAAAGTCAACTTCGCGGATTTCCTTATACCAAATAGTCGAAAGACTTTTTTGTGTCTGCGTTAATAATTTATTTCGCATCAAGGCACAATTGTGTAGTGATTATCTATAAAAAAATTGGACTTCTGCACGGTCGCATATTTGTACGACTCTATTGCATACAATGTAACGCAGAAGAGCATATGCCTCGCACAAAGCGATTACATTATGAAAAATAAAATAATTTCTCAAAATTATAGTTGAGTAGCTTTGCTTTCTCTTACCACCCCATCTTCACAAATTACTCGATATTATCTTCACAATTTACTTTGCATAAAATTTTTATTTCTGCCAAGAAATTTTGACAAGTTATGGGTAATAGTAATGATGAAACCTTTAACGAACAACGACGTAAATTAAGAAGAAGAGAGGGTCCAACGCGAATTTTGCCCTTTGTACTTAAACGCCGTCAGTTTCCCATACAACCTGCTTTTGCTATGATCATCAATAAGGCACAAGGTCAAACTTTGAATTATGTGGGAGTTTATTTGCCGACTCCAGTATTTTCTCATGGCCAACTTTACGTTGCTTGCTCTAGGACTACGGCTAGACAAAACCTCAAGATTCTAATAAGAGGCCGGCATGCCGAAGCGGAATATACGCGGAACATCGTATATCCGGAGGTGTTACAATAGATGTAGACTGCGTTTAGAAACATTAGGATGGATATCTCAGAGCGAAATTAAGCAGTTCTATTTAAAATTAGAATTTGCGACTTCGCCATTAAGACTTGATATTTAACCGAATAATAAATTTAAGTTTTACGTTAAATGATTATTATAATGTTTAATGTCATAGTTATGCTCTGTATAACTTTACGATAAAAATATAAATTACGCGTATGTTCGATTCATTGACAGTTACGCAGTTAGACCGTCAGCGAAGCGACGGGTTACAAGCTCGTTATAATTATAATTATTGTCGTCAGATTATCTCTTGTGCATTAATTTAGTGTTACTTTAATCGTGAGATTATCTCTTGTGTATTAATTTAGTGTAACTTTAATGTGAGATTGCCATTAATTCCTTTTTTTCGACACCTTGTACTTTATCTGAAGCTATCATGTCTGATCATGTAGCCCATGCCCTTGCTGGTAGGCAAAATACGTATTCAAATTGCATTATAATAGGGTTACTAGAACAATAATTGTTTTATAGGTGTCGGAGGAGGTGTCATTTCAATGTCCTTGACATACCCATTGGTTACTATAAGTTCACGACTACAAGTACAGAAAGACTCAAACAGTAAAAGAGCATATAAAGTACGTTTTTGTTTGTGGGATAATTCGTTCGATGTTGACAATCGCTTTCAACTCATTAGCCGTTTCAATCTGAAATTTTCTACATAGAATGGACGAGATGCACTTCGCAAGATTTACAAAGACGAAGGCGTCCAGGGATTATACTCGTACGTTCTATCGTATTGTTGTTACTCTTGACTTTTAATTATATGCTTAAATACTTTACATTATTTACAGCGGTCTTAATTCAGCTGTTTTCGGCATTGCGCTAACGAATGGTTAGCATTAATCAGTACCTGAATGTATAAGTAGTCCTTATGACGAATGAATTCCATGCTTATTTAACTTTTTATTTTGACAAGTATATGCCGTTCTCTTGTTCTCATATTCTTGGCTATCTCAGGCATATATTATTACTTCTATGAATGGACTAAGGACAGATTCAAGAAGCTTTCAAAAACCAACAGACCAATTAGTATATTTGAATCAATGACTGCTAGCGCAATAGCTGGTGCCTTTACTGTAATCATTACTAACCCTGTTTGGGTTGTCAATGTACGTATACGTATCATATAAACATAGAAAGGTTTGTTTAATCATTGTATTAAGGCGTTATTGTTCTCCTTTTACTCTCCTCTTCCACTTTTAGACGAGAATAACAACTCGCAAGGAGTCCCTTGATGCTGATCCCTCAACCTCATCACCAGCCGCTAAATCGAAACCACCTGGAACCATTGAAACCGTATTGAGAATTCTTCACAATGACGGAATCTCGGCCTTCTGGCAGGGGGTTATTCCAGCTTTGATTCTGGTTATAAACCCCATCATTCAGTATACCGTATTTGAACAATTGAAGACCCATTGGAGGAAATTTAAGAAATTGGGAAATTTCGACTTTTTTCTATTAGGGGCTATTAGCAAACTGGCTGCAACTGGGTTGACATACCCTTATATGTAAGTGCTATATATATTGCAGTCATGGAACATGTCTCTGGTTTTGTTTTTTTTTGGGGGGGCGCAACTCTGTCATTTGAGCTGGGCAAGTTCGAGGATTCAGCTGTTTGCTTACATTGAATTAGACCCTGTTGCCCTGACACTATAAGTTCAGAACCCTTGTTTCGGTTGACGTTTAATTATACAAATTTATTCAGACTGGAGATTTGCTTTTTCATTCGAGAATTACAACGTTTTGGTTAATTCTTTAATCCGGCTAGCTTGTCTAGAGTAAAATGTTTATTATCTATAAGAAAGATTCTAGGTGGGGGGTCAAATCGGGAAACTTGAATTTGTCCAAGGTTATGAAACTGCTTAATATCAGATAGTTGATCATCTCACTTTAATAGTCATTGGTAGAAGACGTGTTCCGTGACGATAAACGTAGTGATGGGTTAGAATACTTGATCCTTACTTACAATCTCTTCACTGATTATTTAGTGTCGTTAAATCTCGCATGCAATTACGACAAGACGATGCAACTGCCCGGTATAGGTCTACTTTACATGCACTACGTGAAATCTATATTCATGAAGGAATTTCTGGACTATATAAAGGCATTACATCCAAACTTCTTCAATCAGTATTGACAGCCGCATTCTTGTTCATGTGTAAGGAAGCTTTGTTCGAGTTTACTGTTAACCTTCTTACAAAGATTCGAGCAAGGAAAATAACTAATTAAAACAGATAAATTTTTGGTCATGAGGGGATACACGTAAAAGCTTAACGTATTATTATCACTACCACGTGTTTCCCAATTAAAGGATATTCACTCCCAGCAACACGATCGCAATTTCTTATCTTTGCGAAACTCCGATCGTGGCGGTTTTGGGAATTTTGCATTTAAATGAATAGAATACGTACATGTCCCATTTTTATTTTGCAAGACAGGGTTGAACACGTGAAGCAGTCGGGTTTGTAACGCAACTGTATCCCCAATGTGGCAATATTACAGAATCCTCAGATTAGTCGTTGAAAGGCCATATTAATATTTCACGAAAGTAGATGACAAGTGTTGTGATTACCATCGGTGACGTATATATTATTTTTTTTAAATATACCAAAATATCTATCAACATCAGTGTTGACATAATTTGATTGTCCGCGTTCACTATCAACTCATGCAAGTTGCTACTATCAATAATGATAACTATCTACGTTCGTTCGAGAGTCATGCGATTTGATGTATATCGCATCTATATCTGGGTCTGCCCACTTTGCATAGCCAACTATAACTATGAGACTTCTGCAGGCATATATACAAATGAGTTCCAAAAACACATCTAATTAGTCTTCAGTTTTTTCGGATCTTCTCCTAGAATCTTCGCTACCCTCTCAGCTACTTTAGGATATCCCTTCTCTTCAATATAACCTGTGACTTTTTCTCTTCCAAGTCCAAGAAACTCGGACACGACTAGTCGAATAAAGCTCTCCAATGGGCCAAAGAGATTGAGATAGTAGATGACAGTCAAAAGCACGCCGATGAACGAGAACAAGATGAGATATGTAGGGGAGAATAGTATCGACATTAACTCGTTCCAACCAAGGGCAACTTGAAGAAGAGATTGTAAAAACATATGTTATACATAATAATAATTTGATTGCAATAATAAACCATCGATTCTAAATATAAATACTTACGCATAAATAAGTAGACATAGACTGGAATACGCGCTTGCGTGGCAACAACCGAACGCTTAGCTTCAAGGTAGAAGGCATCAGATTCACGTTTGAATCGCGTTGTCAGATCGTGTTGCCTTGTTTCCGAAAACACAACTAACGTCTCCTCAAAGTCCATCTCCTAAAAATACCGGTTCGGTTACATCTAAACTTGGAATGTAAGAGAAAAGCAAAAAATCATGTCACATACTTCGTCGGACGACACTCCCAAGTCTACGTCACTCAAGAGCTCAACTTGAGCAAACAGTGTAATCAGTTGTAAAGCCTAAATAAACAAGAATGTAAGAAACATGAGGGGGAGGGGAAAAATTAGCATTCATTGTAAACACACTTGATATACTTTGACATTCATCATAGATACTGTGTAAAAATACTTGCCTCCTCGCGTGCTTTTCTGAACGGCGTGTCAATATCATCTTCAGGTTTCCAGACTTTCGGAACTCCCGCATCATCGTATCGGAATTTCTCCTCGAATCTGCAAAAAGACAATAAAATAATTATAAACGCGCGCCGATAAAATGGCGACTAAAACACTGTTGTGACTGAGTAATACCTCTCGCGCAATTTAAGTAAAAATACATTGTCTGCAACTTCATCGTCGATCTTTTTTCGCAATATCTGCCATGACCTCTTTCTGAAGTTATGAACAGATTGGCTGTTCTCTTCCTCCGTTGAATTAAAGCCTTGAATACAAAGGGACAAAGAATTAAGACACTTTTTATAAAATTAACCCGTTTTGCCGAACACTGTTTCCTTTTTAAAACATCAATATCATTATTTTTACTTAAGAACCACTCCTTACTTACTCTTGGCTTTCTTCAAAAGCTGATCTTCGATGCTGTCACGGATGCTCTTGTACTTTGTAAGAATCTTTGACCACATGTCTGGAGATGGTTTATTAAGATACAATCCAATGTGCTCATTTACTTGATTCTCGAACGATTTCTAAACAAAAATAAGAAAACAATTGATTATTTTGTTCAAAGTCTGTCGGTATTCGCTCGCTTTTACCTACCTCTAATGCTTTAACCATCTTTTTCGTCTCTTCAACGCGAGATCTGGCGGCTATCTCGCTTATCTCTTCTTGCAACTGATAATAATCCTCATCATACGACCAATCAGTTTCAGTCAAGACAATAGCTTCAAATTGTATATTATATTGAGTTAAACTATAACGACGTTTAAAAGCGTACTACTGAAGTTATATTCCTACCTTTAGCTCCTTCCAAGAAAAGGCCTTCGGATTTTTGGCGTGCTTCCATGACTACCTCAGCAAAATCATACTTATCACCCTTAAGTCTTTCCTATTATAACAGTAACGTTTAAGCAAAGCGCATACTAAACCTATATTTCAACATCATATTATAGTGTAATCCGTTTACCTGAACAATAGTCTTAAATGTAGTTAACGCTTTCTTGGTAAGATTCTTCAATTGGCCGAGGTAGAACACGTGTAATGTAGAATTGGTCTTGTTGAGTATTTCTGCGCGCTTCCTCTTGTAAACCTCGGCGTGGTACCGGGAAGCGTCCTTGTCGAAATGCTCTGTAATGGGAATAAAGCAAATTAATATTCTGTTAGTATTTATATAAACAATTTTTCAAACTCAAATGAATAGATATTCAAATAACATAAGTATAAGCGGAATTAGTATCACATACTGATGGCTGTGTTTCTAATCTCTTCCATCTGTGGACCGAGATCTTCGAGTACTTTTCCGGATTCAATTGGCTGTCTGAAACCTTTAATCTTGGCCGAGAAAGCTTCGAATGCAACCTAGTGTGAAGAGTGGTATTAAGATGAGACGTTATTAAACTGATCATCGATAGCAGTTACCACACAAATATTGACAATTATAGCAGCCATTATCATATTCCACAAATTTATCTCCAATAATATCCTAAAGTTAAAAATTTCCCCTTACGCTGGCAATTTCGTCACAACGATATTGTGCAAGTAATTCTTGTTGAGTGGGTAGATCGAGATCTTTGTTGGCCATGATTTGATCCTATAAATTATTGGCATTCAGTAATGTCCAGAAACTGGCTCCGCTGTCATCTATACATTTATTCCTTTTAAGTTGCGAACCATTACAGATCAATTGCCCTTACCCAAATTCCTCCAGCGTAAACGTGAAAACCATCAGCCGGTACTCTTTTACTATAATTTGGTTTGAATACAAAATCCTTGTTATTGGGATTAGTAAACCTAAAATAACAAGAAAGGGATAATGAATATTTCCAAATCATCGAGTTTGTAATGACATCAATAGTATAAAATTATTCAGCTTTGAATATCTTATTCCATTCTATTTGCTTAATCGGTTTCTTGCAGAGCTTGTAATTACCGTTCTCTTAATTTAATGGCTTCTTGATCAAATTTTTCTGGAAGCAGAACTTTATGTGGTAGACCTGTGAACATTGTATCAAAATAGTCGCCAATTTTACAAGACTCCAATCCTTCGGGCTGTTAATGGAATAAATAAAAACACAAGGTCAGCAACTTAAAATGATGGTATTACTTCTCTCTGACACAAGTCCGTGCAGATTACCTTTGCTACCCCATCCCAGATGCGCTCCAAGTCAGCAGTCAATGTAGCAGAGAGGTTTGCCAAGGGGGTTGTGCCGACGTGATCTCTTACGACAAAAAACAAGAGCGTCTTTTCTTTTCTACATTATGACGACGCATAAGTTACAAGTATTAAAATAATAGAAAGTACTTTGCCTCATTTTCGTTTGTAGCATTGATGATTCTTACCCTCTTGCAGCTTGGAATAATTGCAGATTGACTTCGAATACAGTCTTCAATAGTCCCATGTTAGCCCCGTTGTATAAACCCACTTGATGCTCCCATAAATTGACAATAATAACATTGGATGTAGCCATTGAGAATAGGGCGCTCTTTCTCTCAAAGTCTTGATCCTCGCCACGTTCACGTCCATCTGTTCCTTCGACATCCATAATCAATACATCCATATCTTTGCCACGACTCATCCAAATGCCTGGATTAAAAATAAAAAAACAAAACAAAAACACAGATTCAGAGGTTTAGCTTACGTAAAACACGTGAGCTACGTTTATGCATGTTATATTCACCTTTTGTTGTTTGGCGTCTTGCTGTTTCGCTCATTACATCGAAATCAGTACCAAAAAGTCGATTGAGTAGAGTACCTTTTTGGAATGGAAAGAGCATCAGTATAGTTATACGCATATTATTATAATACGTGATCTCATAGTATTCACATATTGATATAAATACAATATAAAGGCAATGATAAGTCCATGTCACTATTCACTCCTACTGAATTACACGTCGATTTTCTCTATATTGTCTGTTACTTACTTTTCCCGGTACTTTGGGAGCCAAACACTGCAACCAAGTTGTAATTGAATCCATGGTCAGCAAGATGCCATTCGTCCTTCATGAATCGCTGCAAATCATTTCTATTGGCGATATCATAATATAAGAACGTTTATCCATTAACTAAATTAAATTACATGTATAAAGGTTGATACATACGTGAAGTTTTGGCTTCCATCGATAATTTGTAAACGAGGCAGTTTCTGATTGCCGTTCACTACGTTTGTTTCTGTCTGATTTGGTCCCACCGTCATATTGTTATGAAACTATTGAAAATATACCCAAGCTGCCGTATATAATTTGTATGTGTGTGTATATATATATCAGGAACAAGTATTACAAAGACTATACACGATATGAATAACGCCCAACGCACAAAATGGTTGCTTGTGAGAAATTTTGTATGTACAAAGTGATTTAGTATCCTACCAGAGGGGAAGTCGGTAAGGAATGGTTGAGAAATTCAGAACAAACGAACTTGAACTGTTCGCCTGAGTAAAAAGAGGAGTGATAAGGCGGGGTGACATCAAGACAAAGATACGGTCACGTTACACCACATTGTTAAGAATGCGAATAATAGCAATTATAGAACATTTTACATGATAACCGGATTTGTCGTATGGGATGTTGGATTATGTTATTGTCACATGAAATCAACATTTTGTATGAATTACTGATATGGGGCATGCTTTTGCTGTAAATGAGAGCGTTTGGTGGCTTGGCCTCAATAATGGTGGAATATGTAAGGAATACTGTAATAGTAAACCGAACTCTTTACGCGTACGCGTAACTCGTTCAGTTCAATGGCAGTTGGTTCCTTGTCTTTGCTTGACACACTCTTCGCACCACCAATCCTTTCTTACCGGCTAGATCTTCCACTAATACTCATCGGCAACTTCCTGAGGGGTGCCGTCCATTGGTTATTGAATTGTCACAGTAGCCGTAGTCCTTACTCGTTCCATTCGTTCTGTCGTTTAAGGCCAGCTCGGTCCTGTCGGTCCTGGGCAGTCTCACTCACTGGCATACAGTCATTTTACATGATGATAGAGCCATAGCAACGCCCGATGCTTGCGTTGCCTTGCATGCTGGCCATACTTTCAAGTGGACGGGGTATCTTTGACGATCTATGTACTAAGGCCTGGATGCTGTTCTTCAGTGTGCTGTTACTCTGATCTTGTACGCTAATTTATCTTATTCATACTTCAGGAGACTGTCGATTGGTTGCTTTTATCATCAACTACAGAACTGTCTCGAGACTGATTTCTTGCGTAATGATTAGACGAATTACGGAAAGAAGGTCATATGCGATTGCATAAAGATGATACATGCGTTCACACGAGTGCTCGTTGTTTGATATTTACGTCGTGTGCATGGCATGTTTTCATGTTTGTAGGTAACGAATTAGATGTATTTATTTATATTTTATCACGCAGGGTCGATTGTGAGTAAATATACTAAGAGTCTAAGGAAACGCTTTCTGGTTGTAAATACATTTTTGGTCTAAAAACTATGTTGTAATATGTGTTGGTCGATTTTTCAGTTTAGATTAATAAAATATAGCAAGACGCTCGCCATTACAAATTAATCGTATGGTTTGATATTAATATACGCACTGGCCATTTTAATTGTGATCTCCCTATGAGATTTACTGACCTTACTAATTATTGATTGTTGCTGACCGTACGAGAGCTTAACCAGACTAATACATACCATACCCAAGCCCAGGTGTTGGGAGTTGTACACTGTTTTAATAAAGGTGGTCCCAACAAAGTACACAATGATTCGCTCGAAATGCACCAAGAGGACTAGACAATATGTATTCAATAGATTTCTCCTAAATAAATAAGCATCTTTAGACCTTCTCCATTTTCGCAATATCTTTCACTGACAACAACAATTTTCTTGACCTAAATGGTGTTGCACACAGTCTTTGAACAATTTGAGCATTAATGTAATAAGACTTGCAGTTCCCAGAAAATGTGTGAACTTGCTCAGCATTAATGCATTCTTTGATTCTACCTTCATACTTTTGATATTATTGCATTGTTATCAAAAATATCCACTTTTCCTGGAAACTCTTTTGATACTGGTTTTCATACTTTACTTTCAAGATTTGGGTATCCTTGTTAATTTAGGAAAACATTACCGCCTTATTTGGATATTGATTAAAGAGAAATTGCACGGAATTGAGCAGACTGTATTACTATTACGAATCTCGGCATGTTTTTGAAACCGCTTTGTGCTACTTATTATGAGCTTTTTGTTGTTCATATCTAATTACTGTGTTACCACGTTCACTAATTCTATTGAGCGTGTAGTTCGACTATATATATTGATCATGTGACCTTATAGGAAGTAGCCGATCTGCTCGTCTTATCGCTCGCTTCTTTTCTTTGCTTTTACCATGTCGGAAGATTCAAAAGTTGAAAGGTAAAGGAATACTTTATCAGCGGGGGTGATCGATAACAAGTTTATTCATTAATCATTTAAAAACCTGCAGTTCAACCCAATCAGTGTCTGTAGCTCAGGAATCCACTACTATTGCTCAAACCTTATCATCAACGAATGATGATGGTGTCAAGGTTACTGCTCAACAAACAGAGGTGATCACTGATAAGATAACCACCGTTGAAACCACCTCTTCAAGTGGACAATCATGGGTCACCGAAACAAAGGAGAAGTTCGTTTCGTTTGTCAGTAAGATTTTCCCCACATCATTAAAGATCGACAGTAGTGTGATCAGAGCATTTGATAAATTAGAGGACAAGGCCAAGGAAGCATTAAATGATCAAGCGAGGTATCCCGAGTTGCAATGGGACGCTAGCGTCAGGTAAGCGAAGAAAAATATGCGCGCCTAGTAATCGATACACTAACCTCATTAAGCAATGACGTAGATGTTCGATTGACATCTGTGACGAAGAGAAACAATTTGTTCGCGAGAGAAAAGAATTCGTTCGCGATAAATTCGCTAAATACATTGGAGTAGATGTCAACGATATTCATGTCGACGATATACCAATCATTGGATTCGGCGGAAGCGGTGGTGGATTTCGAGCTATGATAGCTACAACAGGTAAACATTTTCGTTAAATGTCAAGCCATGACAATAGTATTACTAACGCGCTTTTTTACACAGGCTATGTTTACAGTCTGCAAAAAAGTGGATTGTATGATTGTGGAACATACTTTGGAGGTATGTGACTACGGTGTACGAGTATGTAGTTATCCATAGTGCTATTATTTATCCATATATATATATATATATTTGTTAAGGTGTCAGTGGAAGTTGTTGGAATCTAGCTGCACAGTACACTTCCATTATTTCGGAACAAGACAATCCACTTGAAGTAAGATGTGATAAAATAGTTGTTTAGATAATTGAGAATGTGACACTGTGAAAACCGATTGACGTGACTTGTTATCGCAGGCACTGATCGATCATTTTAAGAAACGACTCGACCATCACATTGCCAATCCACATGCGGTTATCAAATCGTTTACGGCTACTACATCGCCTGAACAAGCCGTTGAATTGGTCTTTGGTGGTCTAGCTCAGAAGAAACAGGCGAAGCTGAACACGGGTATTATTGATGTCTACGGCGCGTTGTTGGCCGCCAGACTTTTGCTTGCCGATGATCCAGTAAATCAGACCAAAGATTTCAAATTGAGTGAACAGAAGCGATATCTAAAAGATGGAAAAAATCCCATGCCAATATATACAGCGTATGTACGGAAACGATTAAAAAGCATACTCACTTAAACAGTCGATTATATACGTATGCTCAATAAATTATTTCTTTTGGCCAACAAAGTTTACATCATTCTCGGCCTTGGAAGGATTTTCTCAAACCGGAAGAAGCAGCTCAAGTTCCAAACTATGAAGAGGTATTGAAAGAACACCGAATATTAAAGGATCATTATCAATGGTTTGAATTTACTCCATTCGAGATTGGTTGTGATGAACTCCCCGGTTAGTATAAAATTAGTAGGCTCTTTTTAATATCAGTACTGCGGTTTTAACATGTCAATTATTCAGCTTTTATTCCGTCTTGGGCGTTTGGAAGGCGCTTTGAGTTTAGAAAGAGCATCGACCGCGTACCCGAGCAAAACTTTGGATTAGAGATTGGGTAAAAACAGTACGATGAAACATATGCGTGAATTACTTGTGTTATATATGGGTGAACTTAATTTGGTTTATCTTTCTTTGTAGTGTATTCGGCGCTGCTCCATGCGCTCCAATAATAATCGATATTCGACAGATAGAACATGTTTTACCAGAAGGTTGGCTGAAAGAGACTTGGCAAAAATCTTATGATGGCGTAAGCAAAGGCATTAGTTTGTAAACCATGCGTGTAATATTTTCAATATTTTCACATGTTTCTCGCGATTATCATCTCTTACACTATTCCAATATTTCCACTTTCGTTTAGGTGATGGAAGATATTGGGGAACAACGGGAGTGGAAATTCGAGGGCCATCATGCAATCCCAGAGGCCAACAACCATAACTTTTTTTACCATCTTGACCCACCACCATACAAGCTTGGCACAGCTAATTCACCCATTCTCCATTTCATCGATGCTGGTGCTTCTAATGATCTTCCACTTTACCCACTGACTCATCCCGGGCGCAAAGTGGATATTATAATGGGATTCGATTCGTCTAGTCAAATCATTGAACATAGTTTCTTTGACGGAGAACAGGGCATCTTTACTGCCCGACGTGGAATCAACAGTACCAAGCGAGACGACCTTAGTAGCAAGTATTTGGAAGTCTACGATTATGAGCCAAATGGAAACGCACAAGATGGATATACTCCACCCATGACGCATCCGGCTACTTTTCTGTATTTACCTTTCTTACCTAACGATAAAGTAGACCCAACATTTGTCCCCAGCACTGCTAAATTCTGTGCCTTTAACAATTTCACTTATACTTCAGAGCAGATTGATTTGATAGTAAAGCTGGCACAGCAGAATTGGAGCGAAGTTGAAAGTACAGTAAAGAATATTATCAAAGGGGTATGGGAGAAGAAGAGAGCCGCTAGACTTGGACAAACGCTTTAGAACGTAACAAGAGTTTATCAATATTTCAGTTGGTGAAATTATTTATTATTTATTTACAAGCTACTCTTAGCACTTATATTTAACATCCTATTATTCAATAGCGAATTCAACCAGTATATCAAGTCATCGTAATACACCTTATGATTTAACTTCCTGTGGTTGTATTTTTTCCAATATCTTGTCTACATTATTTCGGTATGCCTCTCCTCCATCTTCTTTTGAATACTTGTGCAAATGCTCAGGCCATACAATATCACGCATCACCTCATCATCCACATGTCTCTTTTCTACTCTAACTACCGAATACTCTTTAACCAATCCTTTTGTTATCAACCACACGGCGTCTGCATGTCTCTCAGCAATAGCCCCGAACAGCTCTGTCACGACACTCTGTATTCTCTCGTGTTGTCTCTTGTTTAGTAATGGATACATTACATCAATCAACTCGAATAACATCTCGTTGGTTAATTCAACATTCTTTACAGTAACACACATAGTTCTCAAAATAGATACTTTCATTCGATGACTAATCGAATATTCCCAAATGTCTACCATATTACTCGCACCTTTTCCTCGTCTGCCCAACAACGTTTTAAACCTTGGCCACACATCATCAATAATCCTCCTCATAACAAAGTCACCACTTGTTATCGCGATCGTCTCGATTACTTCTGCAGCCGCAAGTATTACATAATGTTCTTCATCACCCAACCTGTTTATAATCAATGGCCATAAGCGATGAACTAGCGGATTCAGTTCATTAGGAAGTGAATAAAAAACAGAAAGAGCCGAACGGATGATATTAAGAGCAGTGTAACGAAGATGTGACGACGAAGCAGGAAGAAAGTGCACAAGTTTATCAACAATCGAGAGCGTTATCTGTTGGGACTGTGTTGGAACTGGGGTTGCCTCTGGAGACTGAGAAGAGTCGTTGTGCTCTGCTATGCTGTCACTGTTGAACGCATCTTGGTCTGTTGAGAGTTCTTGCGATTCTTTCTGTCGATGAATGTTGAGAAAGTATTCACCAATTTCATCAAGTGTTGCTTTCTCGGATGGAAGCAGACGACATGGTACGTCTGGAGAGTATGACGCGATGAAATCTGCTATTTCTGATGATATTATTCCATATTCAGTCGTAACAGTATTTATAGACGCATTCACTTTTCTGCTTGTCTTGTCCCTATTATATTTATCAATCCGTTCCTCCTCCTCCTCCTCCTCAACATCAGTATCGATAGTCTTAATCCACTCTTCCAACACACCATCATCTCCTTTCATATCACTGGTGCCCTTACCGTTCTTTTGCTCATTTCCAACGACTAACACAACATTCTCAAGCACTCTCGATAGTCTTTCAACAACGTCTTCGTCCAAATTCCATTTGTCCATTTGCATCAATATCTCTCCGACAATATCTTCGATATAGAGCAACACACCAATTCCCCCAATCTTAACAACCATGCTCAACACATCAATCACTTCCATTTCTTCTCGCAGCTTTTGCAATTTCCTTGATGCATCATTAACAATGTAATCAAGATTATCAAGAATGAGTTCAGATGGAGAGGCATATCCACATTCGTAAGAGACATGAACTAGGGCTGTTTGGGCTGTACTTGAAACAAGCGAGTGTGGAGAGGTGAGTGAAGAAAGAATAGGATATAGAGCAGTAAGAAGGAGAGGACGGAAGGCATTAGAAAGGATTGTGGCTAATATCGATATGCCGCGGAGAAGTTGAGATTGTAGTATTACTACGCTCGCGTGAGTATATGTTGGAGCAGCAAGAGCAGACGGTGGTATCGCTGTCTGGACATTATGATGTAAGGTGATATCTCGCATAGATCGAACAGTTGCATATTCCTCACCCGTCTCATTTACACGTTCTCCTGTCTTTTCTCTATTCCATTCAACGTACTCTGTAACCAACCCTTTGGCGATCTCTTTTACGTTTTTATAATCATTAGCCGCTCTTCCTTTTACATCGAAGAAATCCTTGCTGGATTCATTTCCCATTCTTGTTTCTCGCCTACCTCTGATATCATTCTCTTCTTCACTCATTTCATATCCACCGGCACCCAACACTATTTCGTTGACAATTAATACGCACTCGGCATGAAATCTTGGCGAGTTGTTCTGTGCGAATGAGAGGAAATGGTCAATAAGGAACGAGAGGTTACCATAATAGCCAAAGAGTCTGAAAAGTGTGGAGAGCGAATGATGAACTGCTGAATCGCTAAGGTATTTAAAAGGGATTCGAGGAAATGGAGGCAGAGAAGACGGGACCGGGGAATAGTAAGAGTAAAGAATTGAGTTTGTTGATGGAAAAGCGGGAATAATTGACGATGATGCAGTAACCACTTCACTGATTTTTCTTGCATCTTCTGTAATTCCAGAATCTATCCCTTCTATGGCTCCGAAATCTCTCTCAACTAAACCAACCCTAGCTACACTTTTGTCAAATTCAACAGCGGCCAACAATCCAAACGACATTCTGATCAGGCTGTTATTCAGCACGCTCTGCACTTCCCTGCCCAAGACTCTCACATGTCCAGATATAAGATCCAAGACTGTTCTCTTTGCATTCTCGTCTATTCCCATCAGATATCTTGGCAAATTTGTCAGCCACTTGTCCAGATTCTCCTTTATTGTAGGAACAAACAATTGTTCGAACCTTGTCCCATGTTGATGTTGTAAAGATACCATGTGATGTTTTGTGGGAATGGATACTTCGATATACGAGTCTGACAAGTACAGCAGTAATGTCTCGAGAAGGATGGCTAGGGACGAAGAAAGAGAATTGGAACATGAAAAAAGTAGCTTATAAGAAAAGTTGGAAAAGGAAAGACGCAAGTGGGCAGATGAGTGATTACGAATAGTAAAGATTCGAGAGAGAAGTGTTTTTATTTGATATGACGTTGCTTTGTGCCATGAATTAGTACGATTAATATACATAAGTTTTCGCTCTTCCGATTGTTCCTTTTTTAACTCACTCGCGTCTTCGGCCGTGTTGGTAAATATTTTCAAATCCTGTAAATCTTCAATTTTCGTTATTATATCATCGTTCACACTATCCTTCATGACTAGCACTATTATATCACCTAATACGTCTACTATACTGGTCAGTAATCGGTGATTTTCCTTTTGACTTTCTATCAAAGTATTTCCGAGTGTGCTGACGACTCCAGGTAGAAATGATGCTACAATGCTCGCATCTTCTAGACTGTTTGTTATCATTTGAAGTGTCTCCAGGGACCGTACTCTTAGCTCGAGCATTCGTTCTGATTTGATATATTCAAGTAGAATGAATATACAACGGCCTGATACAATGCGCATTTGGGGATCGCAAAGTTCCTGCCGAAGTGACTGCTGCTGACTATGAGGCGGATTAAGCGCTAGAATACAGCAAAGACAAATGAGTTTTGTATCTTCCGACAATGAATCTATCTGACTTGCTGTATTATCGTTATCATTAGAATTTTCATCGGACTTGTGATCAAGTTTTTCGCCAGGCTTCTTAATAGATTCTTTTTGTCCGTTGTTTTTATTCCTTTCCTTGTTCCTCTCCCTTTCCTTGCTTCGTTCTGGTCCTTCAATGATACTGACAAAAAATATAAATAACTGCCTATATAAAGTTGGTGTCATATACTGCCACCAACTGGCCTCTAGCATAACAAGCGTACATTTTAAGAATCCTTCTATGAACGCGTCGTTTCGAGGACACTCTGCTGTCTGGAATAAATGCTGTAAACTATTAAACACATATTCAATCAAATTAAGAGTTAACACATTGGAGGCATTGGAAACGGAAGCAAGAGTTGAATGAAGGGTTGATAGTAGTAGTGTGATTCGAGTGGTATTTGAGCGTTTGGCCGGTACAGATTGGAGCAAAGATACGCAGAGTGGCTTGAGTTGCTGGAAGAGAGCTACTCGCTGCTCGTCTAGTTCCTCTGAATACATAAAGAGCAGCTATGTAAGGTGTGTATTGTATTGTAAAGGAGGCATTGAAGATTATGGTTGAGTGATTATCTTATCTATAATGGATTAGTAAAATTCGATCGCAAAAGAATAATGATAAGTATAGATGGGTTAGGGTTATTATTTTAAATGCACGATGTTATGGTTGTTATGCTAATTATTATTATTATTATTATGATCTATTAGCAGAACGCAATTCTCAACAAAATCATATTGTGCTATAAGTGATAAGCGAGAGTAATTATTATTATGCGACTAATCTAGAGCTCGAAAACTAATCAATAGGTTACGCGCGGTTTAACTCAACAGTTAAATGACGCAAACATTTACCAGTTCTGTAATTAAAATAGGCAGTATAGAGCAAAGCTTCTTCATGACATTGACTTTGCAAAGGGTATACTTTTCACGTATTAAAATTAAATAGTTTTTCTCGTATGTGATAATGTTCGATTACCACCGACGAAGCGGCGGCGGCGGCTTAGTCAGTAAACTATTTTATTGAAAATCATTCTGTATAAACAGATCAAAACTTTGAAACTAAAAACATTTCCCAATTATCCCATACAAACTTGTCTGGACTAGATCTTATTGGAACCTCATAATAATATTTCTTGGCAATGCCATCAGGACCAAAAAATAAATCATTATGACCAAAGTGAGGAAAAGAATTATCATTTTCTTGAATAGCACCATTGCTAGTAGTAACAGAACTGACAATGCTTTTCTCCAACTCCTCTCTATCTATTGTAAATATGAAACTTTCCGTGGATGCAACCCATTTCGTGGCCGAGGGAAAGGTCCATACTATCGGATTATATCCACCAAGAATCTCTTCAGTACCCACCACCTTTCCAACAGTAATTGTAGGCCCTTTGTTTCGACACTTTTCGATAAACTTTGAAACTTCATCACCATCCCTATTTCGTCTATAAAGTAGAGTTAGTTTATAGAAATCTCTTCGATTGATTTGCGCTCTTTGGTGTGCTTGACGTTTGGTTGATTCCATAATTTTCCGCGAAATCCATGCTGCCTGTTGCTTGCTAAGAATCTCCGAGTCAATACTAGGCAATTGACTCTTCCGCAGTGGTAACATTCTTGTTGTTGGTTTATAATCTTGCAATACATAGTATTTGAATACATCTGAACGTAATTCTCTTGGCAATAATTCGACGTATGGGATAACAGTCTCACTAAAATCCTTGGAGGAAAAGTTAAAGAACCTTATATGCTCTATGCAATCCGCCATGAGGTCTCTGATTGTGTCTACTTGGTTCGACGACCAGTTGTTTGGATCATTCACAAGTCCAGGAACTTGTCTAATGGCCCAACGCACGACTGACATCCAAATGTCACCTTCATCCATATTTAAATCGTCACTTTTCAGAAGCTCAATCAAGATATCCTTTGATCCAGTATCATCATTTTCAAAGAAAAGCTTTGGAGATAAAATCATGAGCTGAAAGCAATGATCCTTGAGATTTTCTAGCATCTCAGAAGCGAACGTGTAAGCTTTGAGAATATTTTGTTGTACCCACTCGTCTTGTTGAACAATCAAGTAACCTCCTATTGCAGCAACTAGATCGTCGAGGTTAAACTTTTTAGCTTCTTTCAAAAGATCAAGCCAGTTCATGTCTTTACATGAATTACAAAACACCTTCCCGGTGTAGATAAATCTTTAGAATAATATTTAAGTAAGGTTAAAAGGTAATAATAGTTTATTCGACTACTGCTAATAAATGAATATTTACCTAAGCAAAATGTCAAAGATGTTAGGTGCCACGTCTTCGAGTACGACAGTTGGTCGCTGAACATTGTTAGATTCGATAGAGTGTTCGGTTATTTTACTTTCAAGATATGTGCTTCTTGTGCACAACACCACTGTATGAGCAACAAATATTTTGTCGTTCGGTTCTCTCCCGACATGAACGAGAACATCGGTATATTTTTTACTTTCATAGAGCTTCTCATAGTCAAGAGAAAGACGAGAAGATAAATCAACGACGACGTCGGCGTTATTCATTTTGAGGATAATGTGAAAAATTGATCTACGTAAGGCATATTAATTTCTTTATATGGAACAGTCGTCATACTTACTGTTCCACGAATCCATCGAATGGAGCGATGGGCATTAAGTTAACAATTCACATACATGCACTTTAAGGACGACACATATTGTTTGATACAATATATTGCAACAAAACCAGACAAAGTAAAAGTGAACATGATGCCACGGAAAGATTTCAGGGCCCAAAACTGCTGAACGTCCCAAATTTATCTGACCCAGTTTTCTTTACATTAATTTGCATTTTATTAAAAGCGAGGTTTGAACGAACTAATTCGAAACGTGGCTTTGTTTGAAGTAAACTAACTGTTTGCTGTTTCAAATCCGTGGTGTTTAATATTAATGAAGACTCATAATTCTGATCGGCGTTCATAGTCTTCCATATAGAATATTATTTTTTTTGTGCTAATACCAAATTTTTGTGATATTTACTGAAGATGTTCCGACGAAACCTTGTAGCCCTGCGCCTTCCGAGAAACTTCCTGCAGCGCTATGTAATAATCCATAAGTCTGCTCTGTAATACCAAGAATCCATAAATATATTTAGAAATTAACATAAGAAACCATGTTAGATTTATACCTCCAGGAGGGACCGTACCCTATATATGGAAATACGTAACACAATTCATTAAAGTCAATATTTATACTATTTAAAATATTTTTTGAAGGGGCTCATGTGCCCGATGTCAGATA